AAAACCTTTTGTACCGAGACTTTTAATTCATACGTGAAAAAATATAATTGGTATCCAATGTCTCCAACTGTGCACAAGGTATTGGTACACGGTCACGAAATTATTGAATGTTCCATACTTCCTCTTGGAGTTATGGGTGAAAACGCCTCAGAAGCGCGAAACAAATTGTACAAACGCGATAGACTTTCACACGCAAGGAAATGCAGCCGGTTAGATACCATGACAGACGTGTTTAACAGAGCATTAGATTCTTCTGACCCACTGCTGTCCACAATCAATCTCCAGGGAAGAAAAAGTTCAACACGCAAAAAAAGTCTGCCAAAAGAAGTCATAGCTCTTTTGGAATCTCCTGAGGTCGAACTCTCAAGAATAGGAACATGTGAAGACAACAATAATAATGATGTCGATGAAGCCGGTGAAGATGAAATCGAAATTCTGGGACTTGATACCCTTGTTTTGGAAGAAGAATTTTGGGACGAGTAAATAAAAGATTTCACTTACAGGTATGTCGTCTTTAAAATAAATATTAGGGTGTAACTAACGTTTTAATAAAAAGTTTACAGGGACACGGATTATTCATTTTTGCGATCAAGGGTCTAGTAATTATTCATTAACAAATAAATTTTTTTGAAATCGTTTCCTTCAAATGTATTAATGCGGCATGGGCGGTGGATGGAGACATGGTCAAAATTTAACAAAAACCGAAATTGTATTACAGTCTTACCAGCACAAACAACATTTTCTTTAAATCCTTGCCCTCAAATTTATATATGGGGCGTGGGCGGAGGATGAAGGTGTGGTCAGATTCAAAAAGCAACAAAAACCGAAATTACATCTTAGTCTTAAAAGTACATAAAAAAATTTTTAAATTTCTATCTTTAAAACTAGAGTTTATGCCTCAAAAACTGATTTTTTGCCCATAGTGCAGAGTCCGTTTTTAGGCTGTGGTGGCCGGGGGTTCTTGGGGGTGCTTCGGAGGACCTGGGCTGTCCCTTTGCCAGTGCAAAAAATTTATGATTTATGTTGTTTTAAATCAAAGTCCAGGCGGGAACAATCATCTTGGGAAGTCCAAGCCAAAAACTATTTCCCAGGGCCTCAAACTAGGGGAAGATATGGGGTCGTGAGCTAGTCAAGAGTGCAGAGTCTGAAAGAAAGTAGATATAATATTATTCAAATTTGTTTAGTACCTTAAGAATAGCTTTCTAGTTTTCTGTTTGGTAAAATAAGCAATTTAACATAATTTTAAAAATGTCAATAAACTCAATAACAAATATTTAAAATGTAAGATTAGGATGAATTTATAATATTAATTTTCTTCCCTAAGAAGGAAGAAAACTATATGGGTTATTCCCCAGCTTATCAGTAAATTCTTCAAATTCGAAAATATGTTATAACATCAGTTGACTGATCCTTTCTAATGATCTCCTCTAAGCACCCTTGCAAATCGGTCAACATTTCAATTACATTTCCCACTCGTGAGTCACGCCCGCATCCCAGAGTTGGGTATATCTCTCCTGGACTTTTGTCCTCCGACTTCTGTCCTGTGGCGTGTGCATGTGTGTGGTTTCCACAGATTACACACACAAAAGGAGCGAGTGTGTGTGAGAAAGGGGCACCGCCCACCACATGCAACCGCCCCTAACGAGAATCCAAGAACGGAACAGAGCAGCTCGAACCGAACTGAGCCGAGCTGGGCCAAATGCGAGACCATTTAATTTGCTGCGGAGGTAATGTGGCATATGCCAGCGGTTCGGAGGAGCCGCCTCAGATTGAGTGCTAAACAGGCTGAGCACCACCCAACCGCTCAACTACAACCACGCAGCCACTGAACCACACGACCGCTCAACCACTTGCAGCCCAAATTGCTGGCAAGGATGCACAGAGAAAAATTCTCAAATTAGTACGTGGAATTTATTTCAACCAAAAGGTAAATTGTCTTAAAATGTTTAACCAAATCTATTGAAAAATTATTATTTATGTTAAAATTATGTGTAATATTTAAATATCAATCATAACCTAACCGGATTCTAAAGTTATATTTAAAAACCAAAGAAATTTACTAGCATTTTCTTATAAATATTAAAATGTTTGGTGGACAAAAGATCCTATACAAATAATCTAGTCTTTTTCTACTTTTAATGCCTCGAACCTAACTAGGGAACAGCTATAGGGTCCTTGATTTATCTTCGATTCCTGGGTGAGCTTTGGCCAACTTTAGTATTAGCTGTTTTTTTCTGTGCGAAGGTAAAGCCCATGAGCGTGAGCTCGAAATTGACCCGCAGCCGTTGGCCATGCATCAGGAATTTATTACGCCCTGGCATTTGCATATTTATGAATAATGGAGGATAACCAGTGTGGCCAAGAGCATGTCCAGAAATTAAGACTAAGCAAAGGGAGGGGAAGTGAGGGAAAACGACCCCCGACCTCGCCTGCCTTTCGACTTTTCCATTTCTATAACCTTTGCATGCCAACTGAGATCCGTTGAGTGTGCGAAACTGATATTCTGAAAACGCACACCGGCACACTGGAACCAATACAATTACAGACGGGGGTATTTGTAAATATGTGTGCACACTCCAAGACATTGGTCACGAAAAGCGGAAATGCTGATAAGGAACTTCAATGTTTTTTTATTTCGTTGTCGTGTTTAATGTCTTTTTGTCGTGCTTAGTGTCTTTAGTGTGTGCTCTACTCCCAAGCACCCTTGTATTCGCGTGGGTCTGAGTGTGTGCGTAGCCCCGCCATATAATCTATATAGTATAATACTTAGTAGCGATTTAGTCAACCCAAGGAGCTGGGGGTGGTGGTCTGGGAGTCATAAGTCAAGTGGTTGGCCCTGGGAAAATGGGAATTTCATGTAAATCATTTCATTTAGCGGAGGGAATGGGAGTAGAATGATGAAACTGGGCGGAGTAGAAATTTTGGTGAATATCATTTTCATAAATGTAAATATTACAATGCCAATAAGAAGAAAAGTTTTAAATAGAATATTTCTTCTTTAGGTAAATATCACAACATTGAACTTTTTACTTGCACGTTGAATGCAAACGGAATATAAAGGTGGTACCAAAAATATTGGGTTTTTAAAAAACTAAACTCGAACTAAGAATGGAAAAAAACTTTTTAAAAAAATTAAAAAACTGTTAAAGACAAAGAAAACGAATTAAGAGCTAACGGACCTATTATATTTTGAGAAACACGAAACTAATTTGAATTGGCGTCGTAAAAGTCACATAAAGTGGAGCGTAATTCATAATTCATCCATAATAGTTTCGTATTTGTCGATTTTGGTTGTTCGTAAACAAAAATCCCATATTCAAGTGGCGGTTACTGTTCGTCTGGCTCTCAGACAATCCCAGCCACTTATCGAATTTCACACTCGATTTGTTCTAGACGATGGATGATGAGTTTCTCAAGAGCTCCAAAATGAAGACTTGGCGCAGCTTCCTTTGAAGAAGAAACCGATAAAATCGATGAACTCTGTGACAACCGCATAGTTGAAAAGAAATAAATGGAAATTTATGCGGTCATAACAATTAGGAAGAAGTCAAGTGTCGCAGCGAAAGGGCGCACTCTCACTTTGGATGGGAAAGTTATCTTTTGAGCTGGATAGACAATTATTTTCCTCGGGTATGTTATCTATAAGCCTAGTGCTGCAATATTCGATTATTTCATGCACGTGACTTAAACACACACTCACCTGCCTGGGAAACTCCCCCTGGATATCATCTTAATTGGATTTAAAGCCTAGGCCTAGTCCCAATCCCTTTTGTGTTTGTGGAAGGGCAACCTGCAGCGGCATTTAACCGCGGGCATATTTAATTTAATTTCTACGTATTTAACCCATAACCAAGTTGAGTTAACATTGGTAGTCGGTGCTGGAAATGCCCTTTAAAATATAACTAGGTATTTATACTCATTTGGTTTTTTAACCATCAATGTTGTTTTGACGAAAATTTTATTTATATCCGTTTTCTCTATAATACGTTTTAAACTATAAATTCTCATACATTTCTAAGCTTACAAGCTACTTTTATTTGAAGAAAATGATTTAGTAAAAATAACTCCCGACATGAAGAAATAACTGTGGCGTTGCCTTAAATAAGTTTGGAAATTTAATTAAAACTTTTGAATACTTTATAATATTTAAAATTCAGTTCTTTAAAATTATTGATAAAATATTTATATAATTTTATTAAGCCAAATGTACCCTTTGTGAGAGTAATACCAAACCAAACCAATCCAAACCAAAGCTGGGGAAAGGGATCAGGGGCCAGAACAATGAGGGATTGCAGGTTGCACAAGCCTGAAACGCGTTTCACTTTAAAAATTCATGCAATTATGAGCCGCAAATATTATTATGTAAACATACAAATACAAACCGGTGGGGGTGGTCGGCAAATGAGCAATATCCCTCCCTTCTGTTCATGTTGTGGCAACATATTGATAGACAATAATTTGTCTTAATGAAATTTTGCCTTTATTTATGAGATGGCCAAAACGTGTAGGAAATCTTTCACAACCCGAGGCGACGGCGTTGCTACGAAAACAATCTGTGCCGGATATATTTTGAGGACCAACCTTGGGGCAATTAGTGAGGGTTGGGTTTTGTGTGGCATTTTCCCGGAGATTGTTATTGTTGCCGTTCAGGTTGCTGTCTTTCATGTCCTGTGCATAATTTATGTCCCGGCCACCCACTTTGGATTCTGTCTGGGTCTCTGCTGCCCGACCAGAAGAAGCCCCGTTCCAATTATCAACAAACTTTTCGAGAAAAGAACTGAAATCTGTGATGTAATTGCTTTTGCTTTCTCACCTTTTGTCGCCGAAATGGCAACCGCAAAGTCGAGAGTCCGAGCGAGTTTTCCACACTGGGAAAACGAAGAACTGTGGAAACTGTTAATGGGGCTTCCCCGCTGCGTGTGGATAGGTTTTTCAGTTGGCCAAAAAGGAGGGGAAGGAGCTGAAAGATTTTCCAATATCAATTGAAATTAAATTGAATTTTAAATTGGCCAGCGTGGCCAGGAGACATTTGTGTCGATTTTTGCCAAGAAACCCAGGGAAAAGTGGGCGTATGTGGGTTGATATGGGCGTGGTCTCAGGTTGGCCACACTTGTTTGTGACAGCCCAAGAGGGCAATAAAGCGAATGAAAAATGTGTAATGGAGTGAGAGTGGAAAGGTGGAAAAGTTTCATGTCAGACAACTGTAATAAAATTTGGAGTAGGGAGAAGTTCACAAGGACTGTGCAGACCATCAGAAAATATTTCCTAATATTTCATTTGCTAGAATCTTAGAAGCAGAACTTATAGATTATATTTCCTTAAACAATTTTTTCTTATTTCAACTAATAAGGAAAAAAGGATTTTTAAAAACAAATTTTACATTGAAACTGCATTATTTCCTGCTTTTTTTTAAAATATATTTGATCACATTGCAGGAATCCTACAAAATACCACGCCTCTCCCTTCGAACCACCAATGGGGGTTTCCAACTCGTAGACTTGACAGCAAAACGCCTCCCGACCGCCTTCAGTTAGTTGCACACCGAACAAAAGTAAAAGTAGGCATCACAATAAGGACTCTGCAAACGCTGTGCTGCATCCCAAGCAGGAGCACACCACGTATCCTATATCCTATATTCCATATCCCATATAACGAGTACTCCGCATCCCAATCCGTTGCTTTTGTTGGCTCGCCATTGTCGACTTAAATGCACAATTTGCGCATGAAAAGCACGGATTTGGAGAGAGGGATCAAGCAAATGTACACTGTAAAAAACTAGATGTATTAAAATACGAAAATAATTAATTATTTTTAGTTTGAAGTTTAGGTTATTTTACTGATTTTAAATTTTTAATTTAAATTTGAATTTTCAGCCTATGGCAGATCATTAAAAAAAACGGGATTTTAACATATTTTTAGAAAAAAATATGATCCTTTTTTCCCGTGTGCGGCATATACCGATACACACACTGGCACATTCAATGTACTTCCGGTGGCGGAACAGGAACAGGAGCGACTGCGATGCCGCGACTGGATTCGGTTTTTGAAGTTGCTTTCAAGGCCCTTTGACAGACGCAACGACGGATAATACACACTTAATTGCTCAAAATGATGCGATTGTGGAGCGTTGCATATGCCACATACACTTACACACAAGCACATCACACAGATACTCACTCACACAGGCGAGGAATAAATATCACCCATCTGCACCACCGGATTAGCGAATGGAAAGCTCAGCTACGACTTTTTTGGCGCGCTCAATTTAAAGCAGGCTGTAAAAACCGGAGGAAACTGCTGGAAAAGGGGTGTTAAGGGGGTGGTGTGAGGGGGCAAAAAAAAGGGGGAGTTGCCCTGCTTATGTATTTAAGCCACAACAAAAGACACTCGAGAGCATATCATTGGCGTTTTGTGACGACCTCGCCGCACTTGAGCTCACATGAGCCGCAGGCCGTAATTGCATTTAAAGGTTTTGCACTCTGCTCTCGACCCCTTTCCCTTAACATTTCCCACATGCGGCTGTGCGTACGAAAATATGCTAAATATGGTTCTAGAAGGGCAGTCCTCAGAAATAAAGTTAGGCCAGCAGGGCTCAAGGAATCAGCAAGAAATTAAAAAAATTAAGTTTTTAAAGACGTACATAATTTGCCACACCTTAAAAAAAACATTTTAAGAAAAATATTATGAGTAACAATTTGTGATCATCTTAAAAAACTGTATTTCCATTGTACGTATAATAATTTAATAATCAATTTTGAAACACTAAAAAATATATTACAAATTAGTTGTTGCATTTTATCGATAAAAATTATTACGAATATCATAAACCGCGCTGCTGACATATTGATAAAAAATATCAAGCATATGAGAAAAACCAAATGTAACCAGCCTTCGTAGCCTTCCTAAAAACTTTAGTTCCCTAGTCTTAAGAACCCACCCATCCCATTCTACCCACTCTGAAATTATCCCGAGACGACCCACAAAAAAGCAACCGCATTTCTGCGTTTTACTCGAGAACCACTCCACTCTTTTTCAATACTGTTCAGTTCGAACCACTCCACTCTACAGTAGAACCCCACCCCCGTCCAAAAATCGCTGGCCCTTTACGCCCCTGGGGCAACGATTGCTACTCGCCTGGCCATTGTTTCAATTTCCATGTCGATTCGGTTGTTTTCGTTTTGATGACCTCGCCGCAGCAGCAGCCGCAGAAATGCTCGAAATCTATAAATACTGGCAATCATTACGGGGTCTCATATTTTTATTGCATATTTTATAAGAATCCGAATTCGATGCAGCAGCGAAACAGAGGCAGCAACTTCACAATTTCTGTTGCTGCAATCCAATTGTCATTCATGACAGCTGTCGATCAGAAATGGCGGCTGAAAAATATATCCGCAACAATGGGAAACGAGGGGGCAACGAGGTGGTTGCTTTTGATTCACATTTTACAAATTCTCCCTATGCGATTGAATTGAGCTCATGGTTCTCTGTTTTTTGTGTAATTGCCACCTTTTGTCATGGCGAATGTTTGGCATATTTTGTAAATTATATTCCCCAGCAAATCTATATTTGATTAGGCCATTTGCATAATTTTATGATAGGTTATGTGATATGATATACCAAGGAAGATATGATATATGCAAATCCGGGTTTGATAGAGATGTTTACAAATAAGAGAAGAAAATACAGTTTGATTGGAATATACTGAAAGGGGTACAGAAAGTAAATCTGAGATAAAAAATTGATTGACTTGAGTTGGGTTTATAAATGTAGTTGATTTGAATTTTTTTTCAACCCTCTGTATTGACAATTCGATATGTCAAATCTGAAGATAGTTATTTTTAAAATCTTAATTTAAAATAACTTATTTAATAAACAAATTAAATGAACGCCACCTTTAAGGTGGCTATGTTTCCCTTTCACAATTCACTTATCCACTTTGTATCTGCCCACATCTCGAGCCAGCTGAATATGATCGAATATCATGTAAAATCCCCTAGATTTCCCGTACTCTGGGCAATCAATTTCAGATGCGTCACACCTTGCCACCGAATTGGACTCGTGTGTGGCTGCCATGTGGCGATGACATTGTCATGTGCCAAACAGGAAGCCAAAACACCTTTGCCGAGATGTCAACGCCCGTACATTATCATCGAGTACCTACATTCAAATGAAATTCGCATCTGATTCGACTTTGTACATATTTCAACTGCTGCTGGCGGAGACATCCGCGACGGGAAATGTGCCGACAATTGTTTTGCAAGCGGGCGCAACTCCTGGGCAAAGTACTACAAATTCGGCAATCCGCCGGTTATCCTGTTGGCTGCAAAACATCTGTCGGATGTCATCGGAAGTTGTATCTGACGGCACGCCCCAAACAAATTTACTTGGGAGTTTGGAATTCACAATTTCAGAGGCGTTGTCTGGGATTGAGTTGAAGTGTGGGCCTGCTCTCGCCCTCTTCCACTTTTCAACGCAAGCTGCTCGGGAATATTTCACGGCACTTGGGCGTTTGTGTGTGTGCCTCGGCAGAAGTTACGGATATTATTCATAATTTTCCAACGTGGCATTGTGACATATGCCATTAGAGAAAGGAGCGGAGTTAGGGGTCCACATTGAGGGTTGTCTTTCAACGGAAACCGTTTTCAGTTGCTGATAAAGATCAGCTTTGACCATCATAAGTATGTTGTAAAGAGAAGATTCATTAGAAATAAGTTATTTTTAACAAAAAGTTACAGTTACTAGCAATGTTCCACTCTTCACTACCATTAAAGTGGTCTTTAAATTGCAAGGAAAAGATAAAAATATCACACAATAAACCCTTAGATGCCATAACTACCAAATACTAAAACAAAAATCAAAGCAGAGAACTGTTTTTGTGGGCTTTCCTTGATAATGACGTGATAATTGCTTCTGTCTGATAAATCAGAGAGCGTCGTCCCATTTCGGAAGCCTTGCAACTGACACATTCCACACCAACGAGCAAATGCTGAGACACAGTTTATATTGGTGGCAAAGTTCAAAGGACACCTGCGGTGCGGTTTTAATTGCATCGCACAACACCAAAAGTGACAAGGAATCTTTTGGGTGCTGAGGACCTCCTGGCGCTAGGAAACAAAGTAATTACAAGGCCCAGTACAGACAGAAGCCGAAAGAGATGGGTTGGGTGGGATGAAAAGAGAGTTCAGGATTCAACACCACACTTACAAAAATTTTAAAGGTTTACAAAAACAAAAAAATTATTTTTGGGGTTAATTTTTAAATTTTTTGTTGTGTTCTCTAAAATGTCATTTCTATTAAATTGTATTTTTATTAAACGAAATATTTTTTAAGCATCAACATGTTTTTTGTTGTGTAAATCAAATTGACAGCTGCCTACCGGAAAAAGAAAACCCGAAAACGCCACAACATTTATTCTTTGGCGCTGGGATGGGATTTTCGGAGAGTGCGAGAATTCTATTAGCACCGTCAAGGAAATCGCTTTTCCTAATAGCCGTGTGCCACGTGTCCTGCGAAGCTCGAGTCCCCTGCTCGGTCGTGTGTCACGACCGAAGGACAACCGCAGCATCCTTCTCACTCCCGATTCAAACTGAATGCGATATTTCCCCATTTCGGGCAAACAATACAATTGAAAAATTATAAAAATTTCGCACTTTCCACTTTCCAAAATACAGTCGAACGAATTCTCGTAACGAAAACCGGACGTCGTCCTTTTGCGGCTGCACTGGGAGATACACTTGTTCTCGAAAAAGGACACGCGTCAGAGGAAAAGAGCGGGGGAAATCGAAAAGGAAAAGGGATGGCCAGACATCATCAATATTGCACGAATCCCTCGGCAGATTGAGGCTGTCAAATAAGCGTAGCTAATGCGTATTAAGTGCAGTTCGTCCGGATTCATCGAGGGTTGTACGTAGCAGTAGCCCAACCCAAAAGTTGGCTTAATCACGCTAATAGCCGCAATTCATGCAAATGCTGCAGACAATAAAATATGCGTTGGGTATCCGTCAAGTCAATAAAGTCAAGTGGCAAGGTCAAATGGCAAGGGATATTGATAGGTGATTGGAGATGGGGCTAAAAAGTATTAAATAATATTGTAAAATTGAAAAGTCATTCCTTAAACAATCAAATAAAAATATTTTTGTTTTTTTGCGCATATCTTTTCTGATTTAATTTGTTTTACCAATTGGAGTATTTCTTTTTTTAATTTTCTGTTTCATATACCTAAGTCTATAAAATGTCTTACACAACTAGTCTAAAACGAACCCAAATAGAAAGAACAACAACAATCTACTCCCCCGTTCCCTATTTTGTAAAGTGGCATTTCCAAAGGAATTATTTCAACGATTTAGGAGAAATGCATGCCATTGAACTGCTGGCGATCGTTTTTCACCATGTTGTTGTACTTCCACTTTTCAGCGCTCGAGGCTTGACTGCTCCAAGATCCTGATCCTGATCCCGATCCCGAGCCACTGTTCGACTTTGAGTGGCTCTGACTCTTCGAGGATTGGTTGTCCTTGGTGCTGCTCAGGCACTTGTCGGTACGTTCGGTATAGACCATTTTGTCTCTAGACGTTTCTTTTTGAATACTTGAAATTTTTTGCCGATTACACAAAGCTGCGCTTCCAATGCGTTTGTAGAGAGGTCAAAGTTCACGGTACAGTTTGTAAAAGGGTGAGTACTTTAAGTTCCTTGTTGTTGGCCGAGTTTCCCGTGCGAGATCCTTTTTTCGATGACAAATGTTTGCCCAATCTATTTTGAATAAATAAAAAAATTAGGTATAGGTAAATGAGCTTTGGCTATGATAAAATATAATTTATATAATTCCTTCTGAATTGTGTTAATGAAATATTTAGTTAGTTTTTCTTTTTGACCCACCTTGCTTGCTTCAACAATTTTTGTTTGGAATCCGTGTGGCTAATTTTTGGCATTGACACAAAACTTTTGCAAATTGCACATTGAATAGGAAAGGAAATTTTTTCAGCTCACGCTCCGGACAGCTCAGCACCGATCTGCTCTGCTCTGTACTTTCTACTGGCCCTCCAGCCACATCGACAACTGGTTTAAATACGCCGTTCCGTTCCGATACGTTTCGATACGATCCGATCTGATCCGATCCGTCGATCCGAGTGCAACGTCTGGCGGAGCAACTGCGTCACCGTTCTACCAGCAAGTAGCGTTAGTATCCGAGCACCAGCTGCAGCCACTTCCAAGCCACCAGAAACCTCCCTCACACAGCCCCCGCACCACTCCTTCCCTCCGGTGACCTCAAACTCAGTCTCCGTCTGAGGCGAACCCGTTCCAATGCAAATTAGAGCTATCGAGCAACTGGTTTTTAGCGAAACCTTTGCAAACAACTCCAGCGGCGGCAAAAAGAGTCGACTCTTCTATACCTTAAAAAAATATATAAAAAGGGTTGCAAATATTTTATAATATTTTATACATTTTATTTATATTTTATTTATTACATATTTTTCTAAGGTTTCATTTCGAAGTGTCAAAAGCATACAATCAAAGCTTTTTTCAAACCATTTTCTTTATGCAATCTTAAGATACGTTTGTTGTGTGTAAAACATGCGTAGATACTTATTTTTAATTCCATTCATAAGTAAATTATTTTCTAAGTGGTATTAAAGTACAACCACTTTTAGTTGACCGAAATATATAATTTTCATTTAATTGCGTATCACATTAATCCTTGTGTTTAAAGGGTATTAAAACCACCCCAACCGAACCTGCTGCGTATCGCGTAGTGTTTTCCTTTGTCTCCTCTCCACAAACATGATTTAACGAATCGTATAATGTTTAGAGTTGCCGGCCGGCTGTTTTTTGACACGTCACCCAAAATTCCCCCGAATAGGACTTTTTAACTAAAACCCTGCTATTCTGAGTAGATCCATACATATAAAGCACTTGTAGAAAATATCTGCCTATATAGGAATCTAAATAAATAGGAATATCACCTGATATTCCTGATATTGATATAGCGAATTATGCATGAACCGATGGCTGATGAAAAGTCTTGGGTACATTGCATCAGCCAATTCGATCAAGAAAACAACTCGAAAGCCTGTTGCCGGTTTATAAGAGGTATTTTAATCTGTTGCTTATATAGCTTACCGATCTGAATTATGCCAAATTTCAGAAAAAGTAGGCAATAATCGTAAGGTAATGTTAAAATGTTCAGATACTGTATCTTAAAATGTAACCTATTAAATTAATAGCACATTTAATTATTCCGAGTTAGATAACATTAATGAGTTTAATGATATTTAGGTTTCCTCAAAATATATAGTATATTTATTAATAATTATAATTTATAAATTAAAAACCTATATTATCAAAAATTTAGTTAGATTTGCTAACTTCCCCTAATATATTATCACATTCCGGACACAAGACAACAGTAAAATACCAAGTAAAAACAATTTTATAGGGTTAATGACATCCAGGATCTCCTCTTATCTCCCATGCCCTTCTCCTAGCGGTAATTCCCAAAAACTCGTTTTATCAATTCTGAAAAATCAATAACCAATATTGTACTTTGAACGTCTAAGTCGCTGTTTTAAATGTCAAAATCTGCATTTGTATTGTACAGTCAATTTATTTGTCTGCCAAAAATTAAGCTTATACTGCATTATGCAAATGTGCCAGACACATGGATCAATAATTAAAAAACGTGCCCCAGACACAGAACAAATTGAGCAAATAAAAGTATGTATTTCTTCGTGACAGGTTGAATGAAGCAAAAATTCTTCAAAAAGAATCTATATAAAGTGCAGATTGTTCGATATCGAACACTTGACTGGATACCTTCGAGAAGCATGCTCCACAGATCCTTGGGGAAACCACCTAAAACTTTCGGCTCCGCGAAAAAATCCCCAAAATAATTTGTTTATTTGCTTGGTGTTTGGGTTTGTTTACTCACTTTCAGAGATGTTTACCGTTTTAGGCCGTCAATGGAATATCAGGCCTGCCATGCGGTCCTCCATTGACGTACCACTCGGTGGCGTAAACAAGAAATTTGGCACAAGCCTCGGATTTTGCATCAGAGCCGCCGAAAAAACTAGTTTAACTTGAGCACGCTCCCAGCGCGTGATGAGATCAACTAAATCTAGGGGGCTTTCCGATATAAAAGCGCCGCTTTCGGTTCGAAATCCAACAGACTAAAGTGTGAAGGCCAAGCAGTCGATACCTAATCAGTGAATTTTCAAAAATATTTTCCCCAACGTGCATAAACAGATGTGTCAATGAAGACACCGGACACCAAAGCCAAGCTGCTGAATAATATAAGGTGAGGAAGGGAAAATTGAACGTTATTCCTTATCATTTTGGAAGTAAAACAAATCTCTTGAAATATATAAAAAAATCGATAAAAAAAATGTGGTAAAAACTAATTTTGTATTTATTTTTCATTATTTTATTTCCTTACCTAATCATATTCTTTATCACAAACTAATATTTTCTGTTTCTTCTATTTACAGTCTATCTAAACATCTGTCTTCCAAGAAAGGCGGCTCTCGCACTAGTAACTGCGGTAATTGTCTGGAATTTTCCGTGCTAACGCGTCTCTCCAGTGTGCCCTGAATCCCCCAAATCATCTAAGCTCACCCCAGCTCCTGTTGAATCTTGAAAGAAATCCTTAAAAATGGTTCACCAAACCCGTACACCCAGCAAGGCCATCCCAGCCAAACACCTGAGTCCCATGAGGACCGTGGAGGGTCTGGGCGGAAAGTACGCCGTATCGAGCAGTCCGGCGGATAGTTTCCTGCGGAATACGAGGCTCACGGTTCAGAGCAGCTCCCAGCAGTCGGCGGCCTTCAAATACAACCAGATGGTCACCAACAATCGGGAGCAGTTCAATAACCTGCACTTCTGCTAGGGAACGGATGGGGATTCGATTCCCATCGCCACTGGAGAGACCGCACTGGAGGAGAAAATAACACCATGATTGCGATTATTTGTCGCCATACATAAATGCAATAAATTCATTTGTAAAAGTTCCGCAAATTAATTGAGTTTCATAAATCGCAGCAGTCACGTGCGTGGGGGGCGGGGAAATTTATTTATTGCAACTTTTTTATTTTGCCAAATTAAATTACCCCAACTAAGCCTGCGAGCATTCGTCGCCGTCATTTTTCATTGTTTGCGGCTGTCTGCCTCACTTTGTCATATGCAAATGTGGCCCGGCGATTTTTGCACATTTGATATTCGGTTTTTTTCCACACAGGCGCCATATTTTTACATTAGCGCCGAATCAAAAGCTTTAACGTTTTAACATTCGCTCCCCGGGATTTGCATAAATCTTTGTTGGCTTTCGCATGTTTTTTAGGCGTTGCAGGTGAGCGGAATGATGGAAAAAGACAGGGGTATCAGCTTGTTTCCACAAAGAAAATATGGATTCTAAGGAAAGTAAATCATTTTACAACATAGCGAAAGTTGTTTGCAAGGCCCTATGTCGATGAACTTGATCCATTTCATAAAACTGGGTCAGCAATTGGGAAATTATTGTGTAGATCTCATTTATATAAGTTGGTATAAAACAAATAGAAACTCAAAACATATATTTAATTTATTTTGTAAAATCTAGAAGTCTAGTTTCCCTTTTCTTTAATTTTAGCTACATTTTTTCTTCAGTTCATGAAAAAACTTCCCCGAAATTCCACACTCAGAAAAAAAATCGCCCTTAATTTTAGAAAATCGCCCGTGATTTCAAATCGCCATTAAATTAAGAAAATTTTTCTAGATTATAGAAAAATTTTCTTAAGTTTATGGAAATTCGCCATAAAATTTTTTATAAAATGAATAAGAAGAAGAATAGTTGATTTTTTTCTTGGATTAATGGCGATATTTTCTTGGATTAATGGCAATATTTTCCGACCTTTTTTCTTGAGTTAATGGCGAAATCGCCTTTGATTCTAGAAAATAAATACCTATTTTTTAGGAAAGTTGTGTAATTTTTTAGTGTTCTAGTATGGTGGCCTAGCTGTTAGAGGCGTTCGGACACTAAACATGTGTACAAAAGTCGCCGCGGAAACCGCGGTTCGACTTCACGCAGGGACGAGTCTGATTTTTTTTTTTTTAATAGTTATTGTTTTTTTTTTCGTATAAAAAATCTTTTGTTTTGGTTTTCCATTCACTAAATTGTTAAAACTGTTGTTAACAAGATTTAATTAAAGTAATTGTAATTGGTATACCAATAATACGACCGTTAACACTTTAGGCATCTTAAGCCATTGCATTGCAAGAAGCACGCGTGGCAGAGTGGTTAAGATGTCTGTCTATGGTGTGAGCGGTCGCGAGTTTGAGTTCAGGTCGAGGTAAGAATTTTTCCTTAAGTCTTTTATATGTTTACAAAAAGTTTTTTCTGTACTTAAAATGCATTGTAATTAATAAACATTTATAATAAATTTGAATTTAAATTAAATAAATAAATAAATAAATAAATAAAAATGTTTATGATTGTCACTAAAACATGAAAGGTTTCCTCTTAGTTAACAAACCTAAATGCAAAAGTGATAAAAAAATCAGTCGGACAAAATTAAAAAAAAGGTTATAAAAAAATTTTTCTTAATTTTAGGGTTTTTTGCCGTAAAATTCAGAAAAATTGGTAATGATTTTTAGAAAGGCGAAACCGTAAATTCAAGAAAATTATTTCCCATTGTTAATGGCGAATCGCCGTTGGCTGAAAATCATAGGCGATTTTCTTGAATCAATGGCGATTTTTTTTATGAGTGCACTCTTATTTTAATTACTGTCTAAATTATGCACAAGTTCTCCAAGCGAACTAGAAAAGTCTAAGGTCTAACTCAATGTGACTTAATTAGTATTCCGAGGTGCCTCATCCCTTGAAACAATAATACACCACCTGTCCCAACGACTAGAGGAAAAAAGGCTTAAATCACTTGAGAGTTCTGGCCCAGTAATTTATGCAAATAACTGGACTGGTATGCTAATATAAGCGTAAACAACGAACTTGTTTTAGATAGAAAATATGCAACATATGCTTGGCAGATCAGCTGACGACCCGCGAACTAGTTAAGCTGGAAAATGGTTATCAAATCGAAGACGATGACTAAACTGTTGCCAAGCTGAGAACCCACAAATCCAGATATCATAATTCCCACCCTGTGAGATCAGAGAGTTTTGATAATCACAGTTGGCTGAATCGGAAGCATTAAAAGACAATCTGTTACATCGAAAGTGCACAAATCATCGCCAGCCACAGATTTTTATGCCCCAAAAACATTTTTATTATTCCACTAAATTAAGCGTTTACTGAGGATTGAGTTATATAACTGAAGGGTGGGTGGTGAACCAGGGGGCGGGCCAGATACTGTGTGTGTGTCCTTGTGAGCGATGCGTCGACAGTCATTAAATTATCACACATTTAACTTCAAAAACAATTGAAAAAAGAGCCCAGAACAAAAGGCCACCCTCGACTGCTGAACTCCCCGCTCAACGCCACCCCCCTCCCCCTTTTCACCACCCAGTTCTTGGGAACTTGACTTTCACCCCCGCCAAAAGTGTGTTTGTGGCCCTGCCGCATTACAAGCTGAAAACATGGTTATTACATCAGTAAATTGCAGACGAAGGAAAACGGGAGTTCCGAAAGGAGGAAGAGGGGTCGAGGGGTTCGAGGGGTCAGAGGGTTACTTGTGGGCGTTGCAAAATGGGCGATGGATTGATGCTGTCTTGTGATGATTATGACAGCATGACGACTTATCTGAAACGACCTATTTGCCACCCCCTCAAGCCAGCTATTATGTCTAATTTAGTTTTTGTTCCTGTTTTTGCAATATGTCGACCATTAGCAGGGGGTGGGGGAAAGAACTGAGAGGATTGCCCATGACGCGGCAATAACTGACGATAAATCATAAACGAAACATCAATTCCAGCACTTGACCCTAAAAGGACTTCCCGTTGCGTCAAAATGGACAGCAATCTTGGCGCTCTCGTATGCTTAATATTTTTTAAGAAAGTAAGTAATATGTACAGTAAGAGACTGATCTGATCCCCATAGAAAATTCGTCAAATAAGCCGTGTCCTGGTCACGTGCCCTTAACTTTGTTGCAAATTAATTAATTGCCAAGAAGATGAAGACGGCAGCGGAGGAAGATTGATTAAGAGACAGCCACGATAACCCTTCAATGCGGCTGTCAACTTATCTATCACGCCAACAGCCAAAAAGGTTACACCCACCTCTTACCATTCACCCTATACACGGAGAAAAATAAATAGAAAATACTTATTAATATCTTCAAAGAACATTTTTAAATCAGAAAAATAATTTTATCAACTATCATCTATATTGTATTTTTATTTCGTTGTTTATTATTATTAATATTTATAGGTCCCTTTTCAGAAGTATTTTAATCTCCTTAAATAATTTAATTATGGTGGGTTAAAAAGGTATAATTAATTATTTTTCTCAGTGTCCCAGTTTTTCCTCTGACTTATTCGTTCTGATGATTTATCGACATTTCTGCGGAAATCGTTGTGCCAAAAGCCAAAACGAAATGAAACGTTTTCCGAAGCAGACAAGAGAGAGTTTTCGCCGGCGAAAAGGGACGGGGGATTTCGGAAAAGCTGGGGAGAGAGGTGGGAAAATTGCAGGGGATCAGACTTCAGGTTCGTCCATGTTCTTGGAGCGGAAACGCAATCGGCGCACTGCCAAAAATAAATTGATTACTGTCACGGAAATAGCTACAACACACATATTCCGTGGGGCCTGGCTGCTCCAAACTTTGTTTGTTAATCGATTTATTCGAAAGGGCACGAAGACGCGACTTACCCAAAAATGTCTTAGTAAGCGGCTTAAATCACAGGTGAAATTCTCGAGAGTAGCGGAAATTCAGGGGCTGTCTTCCGCTGGCGTCACTTTTATAGATCACGTGACATGGCAATAAATAGTTTGACCTGTCAATTAAAGACACCTGTAAGGTGCCTCAACCAAGTAGAGAAATACCTAGACAACTGGGAAAGGGGAAGTCTTAAAACTTTAGGTGAGGAGAAGACAAGCACGCACGCAATGTTCACGCTTTCAATTTGTGCGTGAGCGCGTGAGATACTTCTACATGATATGGTTATTGGATTAAGCAGTCGATTAGTCTTACCTGCGTCGATAACGATAATCTGATTAGACATTTGATTAAAGCTATTAAAAAGGTGATAAGTTCGATGTTCGATGGTGGTGACTTACATTTTTTTAAACTTAGTTATTAATATTAAAAAAAGGGAAAACGTGTGAGACAAGGATTATGATTTAATAAAAACAAAAAGTGTTTGAATTTGCCTTCTTTTCAATTTCTCCACAGAACTGAACTTTGCTTAAGTTTCCTTTTAGCTATCTGACGGCAAAGTTTTTGCTTGATTGCCCAGACAAAACCCCGAATCTCACACCCTTTCTTCTAAAAGAAAGAGGACATAGCGATTGATTGGCGGTAACAAATGTATTAGGAACTTTCTCTGTATAATTTCCGCATTTGCAAGGAATAGCGGACACCGTTCTATGGATACTTCACTTTAAATTGCACTTCCGTGCGAAAAATTGTTTATCGAAAACTTTCGTTGGGATTTTCAGCCACCTTTTAACCACCTACCCAATTCTCAGACAGTGTGAATAGAACGACGTTCGCCAAAAGACCCCTTTCAGCCCCGCCCCCTTTTCGCAGTGGCGTGTCGATAAAGTTTGCACCTATTGTCATTTTATTGATTTGTTATAAATTTCACACACTACACACACGCTTATCTTTTCATGCGCTTCCATTAAATGTAAATGACTGGAAAATGCCATATGCCCCGCCCACAATTTGAAACGGACACGCGCCGCCCCCACGGACAACCCTTTTGCCAGCTTATCTGCGAATTTTCAATAAGATTTCCTATCATTTTAAATTCCATTTTATTGCCAGTGCGAAATAAATGACCGGGTTGGAGAGTGGGAAAAGTGAGAAAGTCAAAAGCTTAAATGTGTGAACGTTAAAATAAATTGATACCGGGTAAGTTCTTTTCAGCTAGGAGTTTTTCAAGTGCGATTTTCCCGCCCGCTCCGCTGATGCTTATCGATTTGGCAACACCTTGAGGAAAATTGGTAACGGACTGGAAACAGCTGCGGATGCTGCCCGGAAAAATTGGGAACGTCTCGAGATTTCCTCTTTCGTTCACACTTGATTTGATAATCTGTCGTAAATTTAAACTTTTCACTTGTGAAACGCTCACAATTAAGTCACACTTTTAATGACGTGACGCAAATATTAAAACGGAACCACTTCCTGGGAAAAACCCACCCCTTGAGATCTTCCACCACCCTTGCAGCTGTTGACAGCGTCCAGTAGCTGGCTTTGTTTTTGTTGTGACTGCTGCGCTAATTAGCCGAGACGTGAAAATTTTTGCTTATTATTTTCCCTAAATTTTAACGACCTTCCTTCAAACGGAACTTGAACGGAGCCCATTTGGTAGATATTTTATATGGTGCAACATTTTGAAATTAGTATCTCGAGAATTACGGTTATTGTCAAAGTGAATTTTAATTAGTAAACTCCAAGTTTTGAGTGAGAACAGAAAGTGATGAGGTCCGGAATAAACAGAGCATGTCGAATCTCAGATGACTTTAGGAGTTTTGGATGGTCCGTAAAGTATATTAAAATTATTATTAGCTGAATGTTATTAAAATGAATTTCTGACACCTTTTTTTTATGGTAATTTTGTAAAGATATGCCTAATATTTAAAGCCTTCAGTGTGATCAAATCCTCTGAAAGTATGCTAAGAAAAGGTTTATCTTTTTACATGTCCAGTAATTCTACATAAGCGTAGAGAAAACGTCAAGTTTATGTAGAAATTAAATGCATAAATGTTGCCTTGAACTTCTAACTCCTAACAAAATGTCGTCTATTATAAAAGTAGTTTAAAATAAAACATAAATAAGAAACAGGTTTCTTGAAAAATATAAAATACCTTTATTTTTTTTGGCCGAATCATATATTTAGTATTATAACAGTTTAATAAAAGTAATTACTTAAATCACGAATTAACCTAGGTGTAAAATTATTATTTAAAACCGGAATATAACTGTAAACAGTTAAAACTCGTTAGCCTAAACATTATTCATCTAAAATCACGTAATAAATCTGTTAAACTCATTCCATTGTTCTTCCCATTAAAATAAACAGCTTGAAATAAAATCCCCTTCAGTCATTGCACTCGCAATTTCGATTATATAATCTGCATATTCACTCGGCCCTCAAAAGGTATACTTCCCTCCTCATCGCATATGCCCCTTGATTTGGAAATCTAATGGCCCACCGCAAATTACTCATGACTTGCGGGGAGTATGTGTCGGATACTTTGGGTTTTAGCGTATATATCGGAAAACTCTGTCGCGGCTAGAAGCAGGAAAATGCAACAGGGCAGTTTGCAACTCACGGCAATTGCTGTTAGCCAAGTTGACTATAAGCCGCTATTGCCTTGGCTTTCAGTTGATCGCGGATCGTGGCTGTGACCAGTTGCATTCTAAAAATTTGATAGGAAGTCAGAAGGTAACAGAAGACTTTAAAAGCAATAAAAACTTTGCAAGCCTCATGAAAAACAAATTTGTACAGTTTTATAATCCTTAAATTACCCAGAAAACAACTGTATCAAGTTGTTAATCAATCAACGGCAATAAAAACATACAATGTTGCAAATGGTTAGAAAATAAACAAAAAAAAAAACAAAAATTAACAAAAAAAAAACATGGGAATTAAAATAAACGATAAATGCCTAACCCAAAAAATATAATTGTTCTAAAAATAACCAAGTTTAGATTAAATTATAAGTCTAATAATTGTCATTAAACAGTGAACCAGAAAAATTCAAGTCCACAGCAACTAATTAAAAAAGTGTGAGCCGAAAATTGCTATAAAATTACATTTTCAGCCAAAGACCATGGTTTAATAATTGGGTGGACACCTCTTAATTGTCGCAACTTTGTAGAAAACGCTTGAGAAATCCGCCGCTTAAAGGTCTGTACAAAAGACAATTGCCAGTCAAATTCCGGTCACGATCTTAGCATATTCTCAGATAAAGTTGCAAGTGCAGCCAAGCAGCGCTGCAGATACAAAAGTATCTGACACACCAGAAAGCAATAGCAACCTTTTGTGTCCCATGAGTTAACTTTGATCTTTTGTGCAGACCCCGGATCGAATGGTGTTGCATTTGGCTAAGTGTTTCAATTATAAGACTTGTAAGTCTTTTTCTCATTTTGTCTAGCAATTACTTGAAATTTATAAGGAAAATTCTTATTTTCGCCGATAAGCTTACGTATGTAAAAGTGATGGCGCTAACAACTTTCAAGTTTAAACACAAATTAATACGTCATTACTAGACACCTAAGGTCTTAGCTTAGAATATATGTAAGCAATAAACGAAAACAAATAAACAGCACTGCAAATCTATGATAAGGTTGTAATAAAGACTATATGGGGGCCTATATATTTTACCTGAAAGCGGGCTCTTTTAATTGAGTGATTACTTTTACCGGAGCACAGAAAGAATCCGGAGAGATAGTGAAAAACAGAAAATATATAATATATTAATTAAATTAAATAAAAACAGAATTAAATCGGTGAAGCACTTACTTGTATTTATTGTATTTATTTGGAAAGCAAAGAGGTTTGCTATGCTGTCGCTAGCTCTTTTCTTGTTGACCTTGACTTTGGGGTCGCAATCCAATGAAGCGGCTCAAATCCTGGGTTTATTCCAACATCCCGGAAAGAGTCACTTTGACTTCTTCAGACCCATGTTCTTAGCCCTGGCGGAAAGGGGTCACAACATCAGCATGTATAGCTATTTTCCACTGGAAAAACCTGTGGCCAACTACACGGATTTCGTCTTCGAAGGAATGCCTCTTCTCACAGATATTGTAGACCTAAAGGTAATTAAGATACGATTTCTGGGAGAAAGATTACAATTATTGTCTTGCAGAATTTTGAATCGGAATGGATGCTTCTGGGTCTGCCCTTCAAGGTGCCCACCTTCTTTATGCTTAACGACTGGGGGTTGCGATCCTGTAGAGTGGCTCTAAATTCCCCCCTCATCACCCAGCTGCTTGAATCGCCCATCCGCTACGACGTCATAATCCTGGAGAATTTCTCCAACGATTGCATGGCAGCGGTGGCTCACCTGTTGAAAGCACCTGTTATCGCGTTGAGTAGCTGTGCGATAATGCCTTGGCACTACAAACGAATGGGCAGCCCGTTCATTAACCCCGTAATGCCCATGAATTTCCTGCCCTACACAGACGAGATGAGTCTGATCGATCGACTTAATAATTTCTTCCATTTTCACACCGTAAATACACTGTACAAGTGGGTATTACTTTTTGTGACCTTTAGAATGTAAGACATAATTATCTCCGATTTTCCCTTGAAAAGTTTGATTACCCAACCAGCCACTGATGCGCTGATCAGTCAGAGATTCGGACCCGGACTGCCACCCATTAACGATATCGTGAAGAATACGAGTCTAATGCTGATTAATCAGTATTACGCCCTAACCGGACCACGCCCCTATGCTCCAACTGTGGTGGAAGTGGGCGGGCTGCAAGTGGGTCCTCTAAAACCTCTGCCACAAGTAAGCTATTTTTCCTTTTCAGAGAAAATATTTTAAAATGTTACTAAACTTACCTAGAATTTTTAAAATTGAAAAATGACTTATTTTACCAAAAAAGTACATCCGACAGTTATCACAAAAATTCTGCAGGTCACCAAACTTTTTATCAAATAAACGATATCATTTAAATCATGTTTAAGAATATAAACAAAAGATTATACGGGCAAAATGTAAAATCTTCATAGCTATTTACATCTTAAATTAACAATATTTAATTATTGTCTTAACAGACGCTTGTTACTGATTAATTCAATTAGCCATGCTCTTTTGTTTTTTTTTGCAGATTATAAACTTGAAATCCAATAATCACTGAAAAACAACAAAAAGCATATTAAAAAGATTAGCAAACGTTCACGTTTTGTTAAGTAGGTCAACATTTGAAAGCATGCTTCGTTGTTATACAAACGCGTGCTGGCAAAGTTTTCGAATATATTTTTAAATCATAGACTTTCAGACTGCGATCTTAAAATAACATAAACATTGCAGACACTGTGACCACAAAGTATCCAGAGGGCCTATGCTTTTTAGACCAGATAAATTCTAGATATACTTCTTATATATCTCTTGTATAAAATAATTTTAATTAAGAGATGTATATTAAATCTCATTTCAGCATCTACTAGATATTTTGGATCGCTCTCCAAATGGTATCATTTATATCAGCTGGGGATCCATGGTCAACACAAACACACTGCCTTCAGCCAAAAAGAAAGAGCTTTTCCAGAGCATTTCGCAGTTGAAGGAATACAACTTTTTAATGCGCTGGAAAAGTGAAAAGTCCATGCACAAAGATAAGCCATCAAATCTCTATACTTTCGACTGGTTGCCCCAAAGAGATCTGTTGTGTCATCCGAAAGTCAAGGCCTTCGTTTCCCATGGAGGACTTTTGGGCACCACGGAGGCTGTTCATTGTGGAGTTCCAATGCTATTGACACCATTCTACGGCGATCAGTTTCTCAATTCCGGGGCCATTAAACAGAGGGGCTTCGGAGTAATCGTTGACTTCAGTAATTTCGATGCGGATCACTTAGTCAGGGGACTGCGAACTATACTTGATCATAAGTAAGAGTTAAAATTCAAGTTAAGATTTATTGTTTCAATTCTAAGATTTTTATAACAAGTAATTTTACTATAATAATCCCTTTAATTTCTTGCAGATTTGCGGACAATGTTCGCCGATCCACTGAAGCGTTCAGGCGACGGCCCATTCCCCCGCTCGAATTAGCTATCTGGTGGATAGAGCATGTGATAAAATCTGGAGGAGCCCCCCTGATGCAAAGTGAAGCCAGACATATCAACTGGATCGTCTACAACTCGATCGATGTTTACCTGTTCTGTCTGGCAATCGTATGGCTGCTGAGTGTCGCTTTCTGGAAGCTCATTAAGGGGATCGGATCAACTTTTAAACGGGGGAAAATCTCTAGAAATACTAAAACAAAGAAACAATAAATGCTTAGTTCAACGAACGTAAAACGATTAAGTGATCATGTCTTATTTTTGTTTCATTCATAAGAAAATAAAATAAACATATGCGGGGAAAAGTTGCTTGCTCCATTAAAAATCAAGGTCCACCAAAAATATTAGCAAGACTTAAACCCATTTTTTAATTTAAACCCATTAATATGTCAAGAAAGCAATTTTCGTTTTAATAATTAATTAAAATTATGTTTTCTATGCATAAATAAAACGTATCCGAATATATAATTAAAGTTACATCATAAAGCTTTCTGCGAACGCAAAGTTCAACAAACCAAAACTGATACTGAGAACTGCTTTCACTTTTAATTTAATATTATCAGTCACTATCAATAATGAGTGTCATTAGCATTGTCATTTTCTAAACATTAAAAAATCACTGGAATATTAAAGGCCCTAATACAATATTAAAAAATTTACATATTATTTAGGTCGGTCATTAGTTATTGATTTTAATTGGGCATAATATGTTAGTGTTTGTACAAATGCTATCAATAGTCTTGTGGCGCCTTGCTAGCATGGAAAATTTTAAAAGTTCCGAAAAAATATTACGCAAATCGAAACTTGTACTTGTCGTTTACATACATATGTAAGTACGTTTTGGAACGACAAAAACGAACCCGTATCAACTAAATGTAAACACCCTGGGGACGCCTTGAAGCTCAAAATGTGTGCGTTGACTGATAAACATTCGCCAGACTCGTCTGAACTTTTGTTGCTTAATTGACTTTCTACAGCCGGTAGTTGGGTCTCGTGCACAAGGGCAAATATTCTACTCTCCCCATTGTCAGACTCAAAACTGCTCTCTCTATATAGCACCCTTGGCTTTCCTTATGGGAGTGAACGAAAGGCCGAAAAAAGCTCCGAGCAAAGATCGGTGATGTCAATTAAAGCGTGAAAATATTTAAAAGGCAGCTAAGATTTATAAAAGTACCGAGCGTAAGAATACAATGGATACTAAATAATAACAGTTGGAAAGAAATTACATTTATTATAGTTTATTATAAAAAAATTTCTCCTAAAAGAAAAAGTAATTGTTATCATATATTTATTTTGTTTCTATTCTGAGTAATAATTTAAAATACTTCATAATTCCGTTTAATCATTTCATTTAAATATTTTTGTTATCAAAAACATACACAAATTTAGTTTCATATTTCTTGCACAACTTAAAAATTTTAATTTATATTAATAACAGGCAGTTCCATTGTACAAATTTTAAAACTGATAAATTAATTTAACTAAAATTTATTTTCGTAACAATAAAGAATGGTTTCCAAAAATATTTTCCGATTTAAAAATGAAAGTTTAGCTAAAATATAGCTATAGTCGCAACTCCGCCGAAGACTGAGATTGATTTCCGATCGCTGACTGAGCAATTTCGGCCTGTGTGGATTTGGGTGCTGCTCTTGTCGAGCGTTGACCGAAAAGCTTTCCATTCGGCTGCATTTCTCTGAATTTAGTCAGTCGCTCGTCGACAGTCGAACAAGTAGGTAAGAGTGGAAGGTGAAAGAAACAGGATTCAAGTTCGAATCTGACGATTCGGCATTTTGGATATTTTGTGTGTGTATCCAGTTCAGCGGTTCAATTGAACTTGGGAGAAAAGAGCCCTCGCAAGGCAATAATTGTGAATTTATTAGCGAGTGCAGTGCGGATTGTGATGCAATTGCCGTGGCTTTTGTTGTGCTTGTGTTTTCCTTTAGTACTTTCGCCCGCATTCTTTACATAATTTCCCTGCATTTCTTGCATTCGCGACATGCGCATTGCCGCCTACCGCCTCACTCAAGGTCGAACGAAAATACTGCAAAACCAAGGAACCCAACAGGCAACAAGTGTTTTTGCACCCGGTACTCGTGAACATTCAGGGAATATTGTGTTTTAGGAATATTTTGTGATCGATAAGATTCCTGCATTAGTCAGCATTATATTGGGTGACAGCTCATTTCAGCCTTTTACTGCTTTCGAATAGTAATTAGTAATTACAAACCCCAGTTTTCAGATAAACAATTAGACACCCAAAAAGTAGCGGAAATATTAAAACCACACACGGAAGTTTATATTTATATCTGTAATTTAATGACACACATTAAGCTGTAAGCAAAGTGCCAATACTGAGTATTATTTTAAATCCATTTTAATATTTTAATTTCAAAATTTCAGAAAAATATTTAATTTTATTTTTTAATATAAGTGCTTGTGCATTTTTAGGAATACTGAGTATTATTTAAAACCCATTTTAATATTTTAAACTCAAAATGCTTAAATATTTTAAATTTTACTGCTCGTGCATTTTTTAGGAATTTTAAACATTTTTAACTTTAATGTTTTCTTTTATTCTAATTTCAAAAATGTTTTACTATTACTATGCCTTAATAATAGGTTTTTTAAGCATTTTGTTATCTCCCTATTCTATTATTTTAGCCGCCTACGCAAAATCATATTTTCTCTCAATTATTTTAATTTTAAATTGCAAATTGATATTTAAATTGTCTTATAAACGTAGACTATAAACCTTATTTATTTATAGATTATAATAATTATTTCAATGTTTCTTAATTTTTAAAAGGTAAAATGTGGTCGCCGTTGGTTCTTCTAGTCTTTTTGACCCTGGCCCTAAGCCAACCTGATGGGTTGGTCGAGGCCGCTGGTCCGCTGAAGGTGCTGGGCCTCTTCCCCCATCCAGGAGTCAGCCACTTCCACTTCTTCCACCCCATCATGAGGGGTCTGGCCGAGGCGGGACATGACGTGAGCGTGGTTTCCCACTTCCCGGACAAGCATCCGGTTGTCCGTTACAAGGATTTCCCCTTGACCGGGATGGAAAAGCTCACGAACAGCGTGGATCTCAAGGTGAGTGAAAAGGGGATTCACATGGGAAATGTACTATTGTTCATATTTAAATTACATCGGAGCCTCAATTTTTAATAGCCTATTGTCAGAGTAAAATTATAATGATCTTAAATCACTTAAAATATATACCTTCTTTGTTTCCTAATACTTTTTTTAAACGCCCTTTAGTTCTTTGAGAAGCGCACATTCTACAATCATTTCGTGGAGTTCTTTCTGCTCAACGAGTGGGGAAAACAGGCCTGCAATATGACCCTCCGTTCGGAGGCACTGCAGCAGATCCTGAAGCGCCCGGGCCGCTTTGATGTGATCATAATGGAGCAGTTCAACTCGGACTGTATGATGGGCGTGGCCCATCAACTCCAGGCCCCTGTGATCGCGCTGAGCAGCTGTGTGATGATGCCGTGGCACTATGAGCGAATGGGAGCCCCATTGATATCCTCCCACGTCCCGGCGCTTTTCATGGCCCAGTCGCAGGACATGGACTTTGGCGGACGCCTGGCCAATTGGTTCAGCACCCACGCCTTGAACTGGATGTACAAGTAAGTGAAATATAATGACTTTCGCAGAATTAAATAACAATTATTTTCGTTTCCTGATATTTATTTAAGATTACTATCTGTACCCGCTGCCGATGCCCTGGTTCAGTACAAATTCGGCCACGATGTGCCCTCGGTGGGAGAGCTGGTGAAGAACACATCCCTGTTCTTTGTGAACCAACACTATTCGCTGTCGGGACCCAAGCCCATGCCCCCCAACGTTATCGAACTGGGCGGCATACACATCCAGAAGTCGAAGCCCCTGCCCGCCGATCTTCAGCGCATTTTGGATAACGCCGAGGAAGGAGTGATCCTGATCAGTTGGGGATCCATGATCCGGGCGAACTCCCTGTCGGCCGCCAAGCGGGATGGTATTGTACGGGCTGTGGCTCGATTGAAGCAGAAGGTCATCTGGAAGTGGGAGAACGATACGCTGCCCAATCAGCCGCCCAATATGCACATTATGAAGTGGCTGCCCCAACGCGATATCCTCTGCCATCCGAACGTGAAGGTGTTCATGTCGCACGGTGGTCTCATGGGCACCTCGGAGGCAGCCTACTGCGGAGTTCCAGTTGTGGCCACGCCCATGTATGGCGATCAGTTCGTCAATACCGCCGCCCTAGTGCAACGCGGCATGGGAACCATCCTGAACTTCGAGGATATCGGGGAGAACACGGTGATGCGGGCCTTGAAAAAGGCCTTGGACAAGAAGTGAGTCTGACATAGATACGAATATATTCTTAACTAATTATATGTATTTTATTTTAGATACTACGATGCCGCCAAGGTCGTCTCGCACTCGTTCAACCACCGCCCACAGCAGGCCCTGCAAACCGCTCTTTGGTGGGTGGAGCATGTGGCCCACACGGGTGGAGCTCCTCTGCTGAAACCCAGTGCAGTGGAGATGTCCCGATTCGTGTACTACTCCCTGGACTGCTATGCTGTTTTGGCCCTAATCCTGGCCAGCGTCATCGGCAGTTGGGTGTGGCTCCTTCGACTCTGCTGCGGCTCCAGTTCCGCCCAGAAGACTAAGAGGGATTAGAGGGTCTCTTCTTCGTGCCGCTTCGTTTGTGGTGTATGTGATATTTTATATGTTCCGTGTAAGAGACTTTTAAGTGTAAAGACGCCTCCTCTCAAGGACTTTATTATGTAATCTTAGTGACGCCAAATTAAATATAATGTTTAATACAATTGGTATTTACCCGTTAAAAAATAATACAGTTTGTTTTCGAGAAACAAAAGCAATTGCACAATTATTTATTCAGCATACTTTAAGGGGTATATTAATATTATTTATTTTATAACACAACATTAAAATAGTGGAAAATATTGACTGGTTCGGAATGGCTAGATCGACTTGGCTGCGGATGTTGTTCAAGAATATATAAAAACATTAAAGATTGGAAGGTTTAGAACCGGAAATCTCTACCTAAAACTAAACTACCATTAAACCATAGCGGCAAGTACTATTTTGTGTGTTTAAAATTAATAAAAATTATAAAATAAATACAACATGTTACCCGTTTGTTAAAAAAATAAATGTAATATAACAATATATTAAAATATTTTTTTTTTATTTGTATAATTGGTAAAACAAAAAAGAATATGCTAGTAAAGTTTTCTTGATTTTTCGATTAACTGAAGGAGATAAGAAAAAAGTTAGCTTACCTACTCTTAGGTTCTTTAAAACCAAATTAATATTTAATGTTTTTATCCTTACCGCCTGTTAATAATAACATAATTATGTTATTAATAATATAATTTAAGATTCCACTAATATTTTACTCCACAGAACTCGAAATCTTTAAATGAAAAAAAGAAGAGAGACGAATAAAGCGAAGAGTATTTTCATATTTTACATAATGCTCTTAAAAGATTAGCGTCTGAACCGGGTGCGTGTTTGTTTCGATTATGTATGTGCGATCTTATAAAAGTATATGTATGTTTTCGCCGCCTAATCGAGCTCTTTCCGTACTCGTCCGTGTCAGTTGATGATCATCTTTTGGCCGTTCCGGATCTCTTTCCCTGTGCGAGACAAACGCCGGTGACTATTTTTTGTGTTTTCTAATTGCATATGAAAAAAGAAAGATTGAAATTAGCATTAGGTAAATTTAGAAGTACATTCCTCAATCTCACGCGTGGCACAGTAAAAATTCCTATCATGAAAATCGATTTCATAAGGGCTTGTCACGCTGACTCAACTTGAACTTGACTCTTTCTCCATGTATTGCAGCAATATGTGTGTTTGGAAGGGTTTCTGCCTGCTGGCGTTACTTTCTCTGGTAGTTTGCGGCGATTCCCTGCGCATCCTGGGTCTGTTTCCCCATCCAGCCATGAGTCACTTCAAGTTCTTTCATCCAATTATGCGTGGATTAGCCGAGGCTGGTCACAGTGTGGATGTAATCAGTCCCTTTGCGGACAAGGAGCCGCCAAAAGGGTACAAGGACTATCTGCTGCCACCGTCCACTTTGACGGACACTATTAATTTAGAGGTAAGTTGTAAAGATAATGAGACAAAGCTGTTAGATTAAGCGAAAAAACATAATATTAATCATTGTATCAACACATTTTAAGCCAAAAGAATTTTTAAATTGTTAAAAGAGTTAAATTTGCAATAAAAAGTGAGAATATCTTAATAAACGTTGTACATAATTTGCCATATATCTACTTTATAATTGGTAACATTTGAACTCTGAGCAAAAAACGCCCTATCATGCCTTAAAAATATTCACATATGTATATGGCCCAACAAAAGTAGAGAAAATGTTTTGTCTGTTTTATTATATACAACATTGCTAAAAATTATATTAATCTTGTATAATATAATTCTAATAGGACTTCGAGCGCCCCTACCACTACCTCTTCCACTATATAGAGTTCTTTGTTCTGTATAAAATGGGAAAAGAGGACTGCAACACCACCCTGCATAGCCAAGCCCTTTCTGCGATCCTGAAGCATCCGCCTGGTTACTACGATGTCATCCTACTGGAGCAATTCAATAACGATTGTGTGATGAGTGTGGCCCATGTGCTTCAAGCTCCGGTGATTGGCATGAGCAGTTGTGCTTTGATGCCCTGGCATTACGAGCGATTTGGTGCTCCTCTGATCCCATCCTATGTATCCGCACTTTTCCAGGGTCAATCGCAGGAGATGTCCTTTGCGGGACGATTGGGCAACTGGATTACTGTTCACTCCCTGAACTTACTGTACAAGTGAGTAATCTCTCTAGTACTTTTATCAATTAACTGGATTTAATAAATCTCTCTAGAATCTTCACAGTTCCCGCCGCCAATGCCTTGATCCGCCAGAGATTCGGTCCGGGATTGCCGTCCACGGAAGATATGGTCAGGAATACTTCTCTGATGCTGGTCAACCAGCACTTCTCGCTGAGTGGACCAAAACCTCTGCCTCCGAATATCATAGAAGTCGGCGGTGTGCACATTAGTCCACCGAAACCTTTGCCCTCTGATCTGCAGCAAATTCTGGATAATGCCCCAAAAGGAGTCATCCTCATAAGCTGGGGCTCTCAACTAAAAGCGAGTTCCCTTCCCGCTGCCCGACGAGATGGTATAGTTCGAGCAATTGGAAAACTGGAGCAGCAGGTGATCTGGAAGTATGAGAACGATACTCTGCCGAACAAGCCAGAAAATCTTCATATAAGGAAGTGGCTGCCTCAGCGTGACATCCTTGCTCATCCCAATCTGAGGGTATTTATGTCCCATGGCGGCTTGATGGGCACCACGGAGGCGGTGGCCAGTGGAGTGCCCATTGTGGGTGTGCCCATCTACGGCGATCAGTCGCTCAATATTGCCTCGTTGGTTCAGCGAGGAATGGCCCTGCAGTTGGATCTACGGAAACTGGATGAGAATACCGTATTTGAAGCGTTAGCCAAGGCACTTCATCCATCTTTTAAAACCAGAGCCCAGGAGGTGGCCTCGGCCTACAACAATCGCATCCAGAATCCCTTGGAGACGGCCATCTGGTGGGTGGAACATGTGGCGGAGACCAAGGGAGCTCCTTTGACCCAACCAAGTGCCGTGCATCTCTCCCGCTTCGTCTACCACTCCCTGGATGTTTACTTTGTGGTTTTCCTAGTCCTGTTGCTGCCTGTGATTACCTTTCTGGGATTAATCCGATTGTGTAGAAGAGGAAAGCCTAAAGGTGACTCCAAGCTGAAACGCAAACGAAACTAGTCTATAGATTACATTCAGTCTAACTGGTTTGTTTTGGTTCTTGCACACACAAAAAAAAAACTTAGTAAAATCAACTGTAATAATTGTCAAACAGGCCCCAACCAGCAAAATTGTCAATTCTACTAAGTAAATTGTCATTTCACAACAACAAAATACACACAATTAGCAAAGACACAAACCCAAAGCAAAAACAAAATACACGTAACTATTTTAATAGTTACGTAACTATCTTTGTTGGTCAATTTTACCAAGCAATTTTTTTTGTGTGCAACATATGTTCAATTTTAAGTAAAACTTTTAGTATTGGCAATCAGGAAAAAAAGGTCTCAATCGAATTTGAAAAATTAACAGTTCACTTTTAATAAAAATATTTAAAAAACATCAGTTCCAATCCCCTACAACTTTGCCTTGGAGGCACCCGGGAAGCCCAGCCTATACAGAGCCACCACCACAGCTCCTCCCAAACCAAGATTGTGCTGCAGAGCCAACTGGGCATTGGGCACCTGGCGTTTCTCAGCCAATCCACGGAGCTGCCAGCAGAGCTCAGCACATTGAGCCAGTCCAGTGGCTCCCAGAGGATGTCCCTTGGAGATCAGACCACCACTGGGGTTCACCACAAACTTTCCTCCGTAGGTATTGTCTCCCGCGTCGATGAACTCACCGGCCTTGCCCTCTCCACACAGTCCAAGTGCCTCGTAAGTGACCAGTTCGTTGGCCGAGAAGCAATCGTGCAGCTCCACCACCTGAACATCCTGCGGTTTGTAGCCGCTCTTGGCGAACAGACGCTGAGTGGCCAAACGGGTCATGTCAGTTCCGGCGATCTTCATCAGGCTCTTGTCGGCGAAGGTGGAGGCCGGGTCACTGGCCATCTCCATGCCCACAATCTCCACAGCCTGCTTCTCCAGTCCATGACGGCGGACGAAGGCCTCGGAGGCCAAGATGGCAGCTCCAGATCCGTCGGAGGTGGGGCAGCACTGCAGCTTGGTCAGCACTCCCTCCACAACCTGCGGCGACTTCATAATCTGTTCCAGAGTGTACTCATCGCGGAACTGCGAGTAGCTGAAAGCAAGAAATGGGTAAAGATAATATTAAACCAGCTGCATACAGCCCTTGGAGTGGATGATGGTCTACGGTCTACTTATTTCTCTGCTTCGAGCGATAAGATAAACGCACGAGTGAGGTGAACTTTCGACCGAACTTACGGATTGTTAACCGAGTGCTTGTGGTTCTTCCAGGCGATCTTGCCGAAATGCTCGGGCTTGGTGCCGTACTTCTGCATGTGCTCCTTGCCAGCGTTGCCGAAGATCTGGGCGGCCATGGGACCAGCTCCGATCTCGGTCAGCTCACCCATCTCGGTGATGTGACGCTCCATGGGATTGGCGCGATCAAAGTACTATTGGTAGATGAAATCAGTGAGAAAAGGAATTGGTAGGGTGTTAAGTGATGTACCTTTGAGGACAGGGATCCCCGCTCCATCTTCTCGAATCCCAAAGCCAGGACGCAGTCGGCGTTTCCGCCCTCGACGATCTGCTTGGCCAGATAGAGAGCACTCGATCCCGTGGAGCAGTTGTTGTTCACATTGTACACCGGAATGCCGGTCATTCCCACCTCGTAGATCGCCCGCTGTCCGCAGGTGGAGTCTCCGTACACGTAGCCAGCCACCGCCTGCTGCACTTCCTCGAACTTGATGCCCGCATCCTGGAGAGCTTTCGTGACAGCCTCCTTGGCGAAGTCCGGGTAGCAAACATCCGCTCGGCGTCCGGGCTTTTCGAACTACATAACGGAAATTAGAACAAGAAGATCGCGAAGATATTATAATCCAAGGCGGCACAAAGGTCAGTCTTCTGCAGGCGAACCTTGGTCATGCCCACTCCGATAACGTAAACTCTGGTCTTGGTCATTCTTTGGCTGTTTGTACTCTGCGGGATCACGGATCGGACTTTCTATATCGACTGAGGTGGATCAACAGGTTGTCGGCTTATATACGCTAGATATGATAACAACAGAGGTGCTGGTTTAGCTTTTTTTTAGTTTAATTTGGATTTTAATTGTTTGTTTTATATGAGTTTTCCAAAAAATAAATTTACAAATATTATTTTACTTGTCTTAATTGAAAATTAACTCTATTAGCTAGAAAAATAGTTAAAAGAAAAGCCAGCACTGGCAGATCCAGAGTCTCTATCCAAGATATGAACCTCGATGTAAAATGTACAACCATTTGGCTTGAATATGTACCTGTCGACGCCTTAATGACGTTGTACCAACTATAATTACCTTCTTGGAAATAAAATAATTAAAAAAATATAAAAAGTAAAGTAAACAGCACTGAGAAGTTTTTAGCTTAAAAAAAAGTAAAGCTGATCTTACCGAACCCAGCCAAGACACTAACCACCGTGGCTGTCAGTTTGAGGAATCATTTTTTCAGTGTGTAAGAAATTAAATATGCATTAAAAGGCGGTTAAACGTTTTCTCGTCCACATGTCGAATTAAAAGTAGGTATAAACTTAATATTTTTGGCTGTTTTCTAGGTTTAAATCCTAATTTTATTATAAGTATTTGCAGCACTGGTCCCAGTCATTTAAACTTGACGCGCTCCTCTGACATTTGTCGGGTGTTACCGTATTTTATTGCCATTGTTATTGTAAGGCAACCCTGTCTCACTGCGCACAGCTTGACTAAATTTAATCGCTCTTGGGCACTAGTTGCGGTATTACCTGTTTTGTTTGAGATCCTGCAGCAACAAAAATGACGAAGAGCCGTGTCTATGTCGTCGGAGTGGGCATGACCAAGGTGAGTATCCCCAGGACCCCCAAAAGTGTTTATCGCCAAGCTAAAGGCAAAACAAAAATAAAAATACAAGACAAAGAATTAAAAGAGCAGCTTTGCCAATTGCCATTTACTTCAATATTGAGCAATCTTAACCGGACTTTGAACTGGGCTGCACTTCGTACGCTAATCTGCTCTCGAATGTTTGCGGCTCCATTTCATTATCATTGTTATAATTATTATAACGAGCAGCTGTATCGATCCACTTGCCCCCTGAAGTGCCGCGATTAGAATTACTAATCTGCATTCTGGGTTTCCAGCGCTAATCTCTGATAACCAACACTCTATTTTCGTGTTCCGCTGCAGTTTGAGAAGCCCGGTCGCCGAGCGGATGTTTGCTACCCCGACTTCGCCAAGGAGGCTGTCACGAAAGCTCTCCAGGATGCGGGCATCAAGTACGAGGAAGTGCAGCAGGCGGTGGCGGGCTACGTGTACGGAGACTCCACCTGCGGACAGCGGGCGATCTACGAGGTGGGAATGACCGGCATTCCGGTGTACAATGTGAACAACAACTGCTCCACGGGATCGAGTGCTCTGTATCTGGCCAAGCAGATCGTCGAGAGCGGAAACGCCGATTGCGTCCTGGCTTTAGGATTCGAGAAGATGGAACGTGGATCTTTGTCCTCAAAGGTGCGTCACTTAACACCCTACGAATTCCTTTAATGACTCATAATTATCTCCCCAAATAGTACTTTGATCGCGCCAATCCCATGGAGCGTCACATCAGTGAGATGAGTGAGCTGACCGAGATCGGAGCTGGACCCATGGCCGCCCAGATCTTCGGCAACGCTGGCAAGGAGCACATGCAGAAATACGGCACCAAGCCCGAGCATTTCGGCAAGATCGCCTGGAAGAACCACAAACACTCGGTCAATAATCCGTAAGGCTTAACTATAATCATTACAGTAATGCCTTATCTAATCTCTGACCTTATTCCCTCCGCTTAGCTACTCGCAGTTCCGCGATGAGTACACTCTGGATCAGATTATGAAGTCGCCCCAGGTGGTGGAGGGCGTGCTGACCAAGCTGCAGTGCTGTCCCACTTCCGATGGATCTGGAGCTGCAATTCTAGCCTCCGAGGCCTTCGTCCGCCGTCATGGACTGGAGAAGCAGGCTGTGGAGATTGTGGGCATGGAGATGGCCAGTGATCCGGCCTCCACCTTCGCCGACAAGAGCTTGATGAAGATCGCCGGAACTGATATGACCCGTTTGGCCACTCAGCGTCTGTTCGCCAAGAGCGGCTACAAACCGCAGGATGTGCAGGTGGTGGAATTGCACGACTGCTTCTCGGCCAACGAACTGGTCACCTACGAGGCACTTGGACTGTGTGGAGAGGGCAAGGCCGGCGAGTTCATCGACGCCGGAGACAATACCTACGGAGGAAAGTTCGTGGTGAACCCCAGTGGTGGTCTGATCTCCAAGGGACATCCCCTGGGAGCCACTGGACTGGCTCAATGTGCCGAGCTCTGCTGGCAGCTCCGTGGATTGGCTGAGAAGCGCCAGGTGCCCAATGCCCAGTTGGCTCTGCAGCACAATCTTGGTTTGGGAGGAGCTGTGGTGGTGGCTCTGTATAGGCTGGGCTTCCCCGCTGCCAATAATGTGATTCGCAACCTGACTGCTGCCGGAAAGGCTGCAACCAGCGAAGATGGCTTCAAGGTTGCTCCGTTGCTGAAAATTCTCGAGCAGGCCATGCAGGAGGACAAGGACAACCTTATCGAGAAGGTGCGCGCCATCTACGGATTTAAGGTGAACAACGGACCCAATGGCCAGACCGGATTCTGGGTAATTGATGCCAAGCAAGGCAAGGGAAAGATCATATTTAATGGAACACGTAAGATTATTTAATGCCTATAAAAAGTATAATCAAAAATTAAGATTTTTCGTTTCCATAACAGAAAAGTGTGATGTTACCTTCATCATCAGCGACGAGGATGTCTTTGAGCTACTGACAGGAAAGCTGCCACCGCAAAAGGCCTTCTTTCAGGGCAAGATTAAGATCCAGGGCAACATGGGCTTTGCCATGAAGCTGATGGACCTTCAGCGATCCGCTCAAGGAAGAATCGAGGAGCTGCGCTCCAAGCTCTAAGCATCTCGATGAAGCATTCCGTGTGCATTGCAATTTCTTGGTGGCTTTGGATATGTTAAAACTAGTTTTATAAAGCTTTTTGTACGATTTTTGTATTATTTCTTTAGAGATTAAAATGTTATATTCATAATCCAAATAATAATTCTCATTGTGGTTTTTAAGCCTCGTAGTTCAAACAATGTTTTATATTTTTGTACGATCCGAATCTTTATTGTTTCTTCAACGTGTAAGCTGGCTTAATTCTACAGTTATATATGGTGTATATATAAATATTGTAATTATTAATGTGTGTATTGTTCTACGCACTTTCAAAACACTTTTCAAAAAAGTTGTTGAGAAGGAAATCAAACTGGGACCTTTGCCAAGCCTATTGGCTCTAGGTGCGTGCCATTAAAAAATACTCACTATAACAGTTAAATGTACCTGCCTGCATTAAAAAACGTTCAATTGTTGTATCTAAAAAGTGCCTGCGGTGTGGTGTGGTGGTGTAAATAAATTAAAAAACTACATCTTTATCAAGTGTCTCGCATTTTGAGCTTACAAATCTACGTTTTGTTATCAAATATAGGGGTGTTTGTATGTGAGGTGTAGGACTACATATAAGCTTTTGGCTATATACAAAGGGAGATCTTTTGGTAACTGGAAGAGTAATCGCTCACGTAATAGTAATAATGTGTAGGCTGATATTGGAGAACGAGGAATTATACACAATATGAAGTAATTCCGCACTACTAAATACAATTATATAATTTTAGCCACGACAATATTGCAGAAAGTGAGCGATACACATTCAGCGTTAAGATCTCCCTGAAAAGGATTTAGCATTTCAGAATCCGTTAAACGGAATTCCGAGTGGCCTTTAAATTTACAAAATATATAGTTTCACATAAAGTCCAAATAGGAGCCTCTACTTTCGCTCTCCTTCCATTCCTCCTTGCAATTTCAGAAGCTATTGTTGGAGTTGGTGTACGAGGAGAGCGAACTATTCGTTGTTGCCGAGGATGTCGATGATGAGGAGTTACTATTGGAGCCACTCCCCGCTGGCTTGTCCATGCTGGCCATGATGGATCCCAAAAGGTCCACAGGTCTCTTAGTCGCCGCTTTTGCCATGGAAACGCGATTTCCTCCCGCGGTGCCTGCGATGATGATCTTATGTGAGGGCAAACTAATGGTTTTGTAGGTGGGTTTTAGCGGGGAAACTGTGGCTGCTATGTTGGCGCTGCTTTTATTGCTGGGCGGCGGTGGTGGTGGCGGTGGTGCTGTTGTCCGCGAAGGCGGCAATGGCGGCAAGGGTGGCAAAACCACTGACATTCTGGTTAGGGGCGTCAAAGAGGCTGGGAGAACCACTTTAACAATTTGTGTGGGTGGCGGTGGAGGTGGAGCAGCAGCAACTGGCAGCGGTGGATGAAGTACGGAAAAGGGTAAGGGAGCAGGGGAACTAGAAGTTAGTGATGTGGGATCCACAGATGAGCCAGTTTCCTTGGGAATCGGTATATCCATTTCCACAATCTCCTCCGCACACACTTCGGTGACCTCTTCCTCGTGATCAACGATTAGTTGGGGTGTACTTTCCACAATTAGCTCGTTTCCCACCAGGATTTCCTCAACAGGATCCGGAGGGGGCGGTGGCGGCGGCGGCGGCGGAGGTGGTGGCGCTGCTGGACTGCAGGTACTGATATCACTTTTGCTATCGGACACGATTTTCACTTGGATCTTGATCTCAGGCTCCTTTTGGTTTAGCCGATGAATGAAGGGCGTCTGAGGCACAAGTGGCGGTGGCAGTCCCGACAGGATAGATGGTGCAACAGCTACAGGTAGTGTGGGAATAGGTGGTGCAGTAGTGGAAGCTGCTGTGGGAACAACTGTGGAAATGGGAGCAGGTGAATTGGAAGTTGTGTCATTGCTTAGACGAGGAATTTTGGCAGGCGAGGGTTCGCTTATGGAGCTGCTCTTCGCTGGCGTTGTGTGTTTCTTGGGAGTCTCGCTCCTCCTTTCCTTTTCCTTCTCCTTTTCCTTATCCCTATCCTTCTCCCTAGACTTTTCCTTCTCTTTATCCTTCTTGGGCTTCTCCTTCTCCGCCGCTTTGGTCAGCTTATATTTGTGCTCCAAGACCATTTTCCTCATATCAATCTTGGAGTCATCTTTGCTGGCCTTCTTTTTGGGAGTACTAGCCCCACTGGCGCTGCTCTGGCTGCTACTGTTGCTGTTACTGTTGCTTTCCTGATTCTGACTCGGCGAGGAACTTCCTGCCGATGGATGCTCGTCAATGCTGCTCTCGCTGGAACGACGCTCCTTGCCATCGAGGTCAATCAGCTTCTTCTTCGTCCTGCCATCGTGGGCTCGCTTTGAGGGCGTCTTCTTTCCACATTCGTCGTGGCTAATCGGGTTGGGCAGGATCGTTTGCTTCTCCTTGTAATGCGGCGTTTCGGCAAGCACTGGGTTATTTTTCTCGTTAATCACCTCCTGGCCCGGATAATACTGTCGAAGGCGCAGATGCCAAGCTATAGAAGGCGGAATATTACTTTTAGATTCCAATTATAGACGCTAATTTCTTACCAACGCTGGTCACCGCCGTTACAGTGCGAAACTGGTGGATTATGTTGCGGGGTAAAAAGTATATGTCGTTGTCGCACAACTGGATGCGCGCATAGCGAACACCCTCGCGGCGCAGCTGGTTCAGCTTGGCGTCCTCGATCCACTGCACGCACTGCGAGATCGGGGGCTCGTGCAGGTCCAGCTGCAGCATTTCTACCATTGTATTGAAGTCCTGGGCGGCAAAAGCGACCACGTCTTTGGTGATGCGGTTCTGCGTGTAACTCTGCCCACAGTGCACAGCCTTTAGAATACCTGGAGAAGGGAAATATATAAAAGAACGATGATTAGTCGACTTCAGGGAAGCACATTTATCAGGAGCAGCTCACCAACTGCAGCGGTGGTGATGCGTTCGTGGCCATGGCCAACATGATCCGCATGCGCCTTAGTCCGATCCTCGATCATCGTCTCACGGGCCTCCGACAAGCGAGGCAGGTATTGAAGGTTGCGCAGCTCGTTGATACGAGTTCTGAGTGGATAAAAATATTATTAATTTAATTATATTAATTAGGTTATATTCTATTACCTCTGCCTTTTGAGCGGGGTCTTGCTATTCAGCTCTGCAGTGGGCACTAACTGCTCTCCAGCGCGAATCCAGAGGATAGGACCATCGTTCGACTGACGGGGATCCGTTTGAAGTATGGAATTACAAGCCCAAGGCATGGTCTACAAAAAGATAACTAAAGTTAGACAATAATATTCACTTAAATGTTGTTAAACACTACCTTTCTTAAGAATGGATTCATTTCAATGCGGCCCAGGAGATCCGGAAAATAGCCGCCGACCTCTTCATGCACTTTTCCAACCAAACTAATCTGATGCAAGGGTCCGTAACGAAAGGTTCCTTGGCAATAATTGCGAACCACCTGAAAGATTTAATATGTAATATTTTTTTGCTGTAATATTTAAGTTGATTTAGCTTACCTGTTCATTATATTGCGACATCGTGCAGGTTTCTATGTCAGAATTGCGCCCAAGAACTCCCGCCTTTACCGTCAGCGTTGAGTAGTTCTCGGCCATGTGCTCGAGCAGATCGGGCAGACACCGCGCCGCATCGTGTACAATGCCCATCACATGGTGGGCATAGCCCTGTTCATCCTCCGCGAAGCAGACCTCGAAAAACTCGTCCACCAGCTCCTCCATTTCATCCGGCGGCAGAGCATCAATTTCATGCTGATACAGGTGAACAATGGAGGCCCCGCCATTGGGATACTGCTCCACCTGGAAGTAGCAGCCGTACTTAAGGTTCTCCAAGCCAGCCGGCGGTTTACGGTTGGGCCTTGGCGGCAGACTCTGAACAGTTTGCCAGGGTCCTGCTGCCGGTGCATGTTGCAGGCACTGAACGCCCACACTGCTTCGCCGGATCTTCGAGCGCTTGTAGCACTTGGAACAGTCCCGAGATGACGAGGATGAAGAGGAGGAAGAATGACGGGAAGATGACGATGAGGAACTCTTATGATGGTTGTTGGAGGACGAAGAGGACGATGACGACGACGACGTATAGTTTTTGCGATTGCTGCTGCTCTGGCTGGAGGAATGATTGCTGGCTGAGGAGTTTGATCCGGAACTGGTTTTCGGTGCCGGCGACGGCATCAGCTTGGAATTGGGGGTCTTCTCGCCAAAATTTAGCTGTCTGGTGACCTCCTCTCGAGTCTTTGCTGCCGCCTCTCCATTTACAAACGGCTTTGCTGGCTCCGCTGTTGATTCCTTTTTGATTTCCGCTTCAGTTTTGATGAGGTTAGTAAGTACTGGTGCTGCCACTTCTAGTTTGGTTTCAACTGGTTCTTTTTTGATTATCTGCTCCACTTTAATTTGCTGCTCTAGGGCAGCAGCCACCGCTTGCGGCAGAGCAGGATCCGCCACTGGATCCTTGGGCTTGGTTGAGCTGTTCTGACTGCTTCTGCTGCTATCCGAACTCCGGCGGCGATGCGAGTGCGAGGATGAGCTGGACGATGAGGAGGGAATCTGCAAAGTTAGGGGGGGAAATTGTTTAAAGAGCTCGATAGTTTTTTTGCTGAACAGCTGTGCAAATATTTAGTAAACGACTGCGGTCAGAATATAATGTAAACATGTAGTTCCGCACATAAGTTCTCTTATAAAAATGTTATTCGCTATTATGATGATCTCTTGAAATCAGTGTTTTCTTGGAATTCTGAGTTATTTCTTGAAAGACCATAGGGTTTGTTTTATATTACAATATTTCAATATTTAATAAGTATGGAATAATATTTCAAAGATTAGATTTTAATACGACCTTTTTTATGTTATAGAGAAGTTTATAGCTAACTCGTTAACGACGTTAAATAATGAAATTTTGTAATGTAAAACAAACCTTGTTGTCTTTTAAGAAATAACGTAGTTTTACATTACAATATTTCAATATTTAATAAGTATTTTGATATGAAGAAGCGTTAATAATATTCTGACCGCTTTCTTTATGGATTTTCTGGAACCGTTCCTATATCTTACCTTCTCCCGATCCCGATCTCTCTCCCTTTCCCTCTCTCTATCGCTACGATGATACTTCTTCTCTTTGCTGCGAGAGGAACTGGACTTGTGGTCGCCCTCCCTCTCCTTGGAGGTTTTGGAGCTACTCTCGCGATTCCTGTCGCGCTCCCGTTCCCTCTCCCGCTCCTTATCCCTCTCTCGCTCTCGCTCCCTGTCGCGATCCTTGCTGCTGCTGTTGTTGTTGCTACTGCGCCGATTCTTATCTTCATCCCGCTCCTTATCTCTCTTCTTCCTTTTGTGATTGCGCTCATCTGTGGGCGGTTGGGTGGTCGTGGGTGGGGTGTAAATCACATTAGTTGGCATTGGATTTGTTTTCTGCGAATTTCGCTTTACTTTACCTGTCTTCTCGTCTGTATTTGTTGTCTCTGCCAAGGCAGTTGTTGTTGTTGTTGCTGCTGGCACTACTACTACTACCGACGTAGCTGCTTCTTCTTTTTCAGGTTCTTCTAGCTTTGTTATTGCTTTTGTTGTTGTGTTATTTGCATTCCCATCGCCTGACTGCAATTGTTGTTGCTGCTGCTGTTGTATGGGTAACGTGTTGTTGCTTGTAGTTGCAGTTGTTGTTGTTTCGGCTGCTTCTACTAAAGTATTTGCTTTTGTTGCTGCCTCCTCTGCGCTTGTAGTTGTTGGACTGGCATTTCCGCGGGCATTTGCGTTGTTGTTTTCCACCGCCGCCTCGTTGTTTACCCCCTTTCCAGGCGTTTCCCGCTGCCTGGAAGCCTCGCCCGCCTCTTCCAGGCTCTTCTCCGCCGGTTTTTCGGCAATATCCTTCTGCTCCTGGAACTCCTTGGCCAAGTCCTTGCCGCCGTTGGCCAATTCTACATTATTTTCGCCACCTCGAGTGTTCTCCATGTGTTTGTGTGTGTGTGGCGACACACACGCGTGTCCGTGTGTGTGCTGCCCTGCGCCTGTATTGAATATCGATCAGTCGGCCGTCGTCTACGTGACGCCTCTCAGCTAGCCGTGCCTTTTATCTTACGCTCCGTTTGCAATTCGCCCGCACCCACCACCGCGGGGTTTTCATTCGGCTGGCAGAATTTCCACAGCGGCGTTTTCACCAATTCGCGAATCGTTTTTTTTTGTTCTAGAAGCAGTGTGACTGCGTCCGGCTCAAGGAAATATACTTTTTATACCATTTTGATATACTGAAAAATATCACAAATATTCGAAAGGGTCACGCTAAAATGTCAGGATCGTGTCTTCGCTAGGAAAGGAGCATGTCTTCGCTACTGTTAAACACCTCTGCTAATCGAAAAATCAGAGCTTGAAAATAACAGTCAAACGATTTTTCAAAGGCAATTTGACAAAAACGAAATTAATCAATGAATGAGATGTTACCGACCCTAAAAATTATATATTCTTGATCAGCATGACTAGACGAATCGATCTAGTCATTACCCTTTCTATATTAGGAACTCAGCAACTATAAACGATAAAAAGTTTGGACTAAGTATGCAGATTCTGGAGATTCCACCGCAGTGCAAGTTTGTTACAGCCATGAAAACGATGTTTCTTTCTTCTTATAAATATACTTTTTTCTTTACAAAATATAACAATAAATCGATTAGGTAAAAATATATTCCTAACATTTGCTAATTCTTTGTTTGCTTCATCTCAGCAGACTCTCGTTTATAAACGCCCCTAATCAGTTTCGGGACCTTTCCCAGATCCTCAATGAGTTGCATTTCCTCCTTAAGAGTGCTTAGATACCTTCGTTGAATGCTCCTTATCATTGGCTCAATAACTTTTGTGTTAACTATATCATTGGCACTGACACTAAAGTCTTCCAGTTGGGGATCATCCAAAAGTACGATATCTGGCGGGGGTTCCACGGCAATTGCCACGACTTTCTCAGCTGGAGGATCAGACTTTTGGGTTCGGCTCTTTCTCGCTTTTACATTGGACTTTACATTAGACAATGCCTCCTCCTTTTTATCCTTTACTTCGAGTTTGAATTCATTCAAAGCCTGTTGCAGCTCTATTTGCGATCGAACTGTTGCTCTGAGATCGTCGCCACTCTTTGCACTAATCACTGTTTCACAGGGTTTTGATTTGGAGTCTTTGGAGGTGGATCCTTCGCTAAAAGGGGCAAACTTCCGCTGAAATCGATCCCCAACAGCCTTGCAATGGGATTTGGCCTCTTCAAGGTAGTTATGCGATTTTTTCTTCTGATGTTGCTGATCACATCGGACTGATTGCTTCTTAACACCACCGTCACCGCCACCATGCTCGCTTTTACTAGATGGAGGGGCTCCATAGGTCAAGTTCTTGTAGAGAAGACAATCTCCTCCGCCTTTCTCCTGTTTTCTGGTGTTATGACTGAAAGGGGCTTGGCTATAATGTGGTCTGTTTGGGTATATGGGACTGGGTTTCTTCTCCTCTTTTTTTGGATTCCGCTGCTGATAATTATTCTGTTGGATAGGCTTAATAGGTTTAGGTTTAAAATATAAGCAACATTTGATCTAAAGTCTGTGCACGAAAAAATTATCATAAAAAACCAACCTCATAGATTAAATAAGACAAAAGATTAGAGAAATATTTTTACCTGGTGCTGCTGGGTCTGTTGATAATCACCACGAAAACACTTTGTAGGTAATGCATCCTGCGCACGATGAAGGTGCTGCCCATGGTTATAAGAGCACTGGTGATTTTCACACGGACATTTTTTATGTTCGTGATGGTTATCCTGCCTTTCCGGATACTTAGTCTTTCTATACGTTTGATTGGGAATCTGAGGAATATTTTCTGGAGGATGAATCTCTTCCCTACGTGATCGCCATTTTATATTATGGGAACGCTGTTCCTGCTCCTTGTTCTCATTTAGGGGCTGTTTAAAATGTATTTCACGTTTAAAATGTACCTCTTTTTATTTAAGAGACTCACAGATGGATTCTTCGTCCCATAGAAGTGTTCCTCAAGGTGCTTGCGATATTTATTGCTTTTAATCATAGTTTAAGCAGATTCACAGGAGTTTTATAAAGCAACATTTTCAAGTGGCAAATATATCAAAGAATACTAAAAAGCTAAAAAAACTGAAAAACATAAAGTAACCTTTTTAAGAGAGAACAATTTCTTTAACGGCGGATAAATAGTTTTTATTTCGTATATATATTCCCCGAACCCATCAAAAGAGGGGAAGATTCTTCTTGTTAGAGAGTGATTGTTTCCATGTATTGATCGAAAGACCTTGTGATTATTGTGTGGTCAGGTGCTAGATGTGTATCTGCCATAACAGCCAACCTGTATTTGTCACCAAAGCGATGCAGATTGAGGGATAGACAGGTCTTCGACTGTGGAGGTCGGAAGAGTAGAACGTCCTGGACTTTCTGACCCCAAGCCGATTGGAATTCATCAGTGGGTCCATAGATTTCAGTAATTGTGATTGGAAAGTTGTATGAGAAAAAGTTAATGAAAATTTTCGTAATAACATGGGGTAAAAGAGCTGTGAGAATGCTGTATTTTGTCTGGCCAATAGAAGCTAAGTATATTATGATCTGTTGCTTCCTGATTCGTTCAACAATATGATGAAGTTCCTTTGCATGATTTGCGTCTGGTTTTGCTAAAGGCAATTGCAAGAAGACTACTCCCCCAATATTTTCGGATTTATCCCCAATGCGATCTGTAAAATATCCTTTATCTATGGTCCTACAGGTGGTGTTAAGGAAATTGGGAACTTTTAAATCCCCTGAGAAGGTTTCAAAGTAGTCGTGCACAGCACCTGCTAAGCATGTTAAACTGAAATCGGATTCTCTGAGATCGTTGTTGAATTTTCCCTGATTGCGGTTCCTAAGTTGGGCGCCATTTATTGACCGCCCAAAAGAGACAATTTTCCTGCCGGCATAAGATTTTGTGTGCAGAATATTCAACTCCTTTGTTGGCTGTTCGAAAAGAACTTCGTAAATGTTTCTCGGCGCGTGGAAAAGCTCCCAAAGAATTTTGAAAAACTCCAACTGAGCGTAGAGCAAGAGTGGTACATATAAATGCAGTCTGGCGCAATAAGTTGAAGTATACGAAGTTTTACCCCTGATCAAAACATCACCGAAAGCCAAAAATTCACAGTAAATGTGATAGGGTAGAAGCAAAACATGATTGAGATTTAGACGCCAAAGAAATCGTGTCCAAACCTTGGCCAAATTAGTAGGCTGCAAACTGTTATAGACGGCATTTCTGGCCACCGACCAACTGAGATTCCGTTGTTGCAACTCCCTGTTTAAAAGCAATCGTATGGTTTGAAAACGACCTACTTGATTTCGATAGCTAACTGAACGTCTTTTGAGTTTCTTGAGCATTGAACGACTCCTCATATAACCCAAAATCACATTTACCAGGACTATTACTATCACAGAAGCCAACTGACTGATGTTTTTAACTTGAACAATAGATGAAGGTCCATCGGGAGTTTCGAGAGATTCAAATTCATAGATGAATTTCTGCCAGCGGCAAATGACAAGATGCATTATGTGACTAATCAATCTGCTGATGTGTTCGGGTTTTCGTACAAAACGGGCCAGTTGTTGATTTGAACTCTGGCCCAATCCATCGTTTAGAGACATCACTGTTTTCTTTTGCGGATCCTGGAGCAAAAGCATCTCACTCACATGCAGATCCTCCTCCTCGGCAATTATCAGGTGATGCAGTTTGATGAGGATATAATAGGGCTGAGAGGTGTCCGAGTTCGGGATCACAATCACCTGCCACTGCGGAAGATCTGAGGGAATATACTTGGTGGCGAGTTCGCTGACATACTCCTGAATGTTCGATTCTGTAACTGGACGTCCTCGGTATTTGTGGGTGCTGAGCAGGACGTGATTGTTGATGTTGAAGCCACTTTAAAGAAGTCGCAAATATTATTTATTATCGAGAATTTAGTACTATATTTATAGTTTGATCACTTACCTACTATCATTCACCCACGCATAATGTCCCCAACAAGGGACGAGCTTTTGACGCAGCTTAGGGAACCTTAGCATGCCAGTTTTATCCCGCAGATCAGTCAGATACTGGGCATAGGACATCTTGATTCTCTCGAAGTCACATTCTCCCTCCACTTGGAGCAGAAAGTGAAATACGCCCGCATTCTTCGGCGTGTCGATTAAAGTCCGGATCTTCTTGGACTTTGAGATGGTAAGGTTCGGGTACTTGATGCTCAGCACATAGTTGGATAGTTCGTTGACGAAGTGAGCGCCTGAAAATGTGAATAGGTATTTAAGATGCACAAATTAAATTGACCTTATTTGTGACTACCCCTAGTGGTACATAAAAATCTCGCGATTACCAAAAAAGCAATAAAGCATTTTAATGTTGAGTTTTCAGAATATTAGATACCCTGTTATTATAACTATAAAAAAATGAACAATGGACTAAAATTAACTTTTTATAAAAATGGAATCTAGAAAAAAACAGTGACATTATAATTTTTTGTAATATTTTTACGATATAAAAAAAATAATAAAGCATTTTAATATTGAGTTTCCAGAATTTATATACCTTGTAATTATAATTATGAAAAAATTAACAATTTACTAAGCGTACTTTTTATAAAAATTGAATCAAGGACCAACAGTGACATTATAATTGATTGTAATATTTTTACGATTATGATTAATTATTTTCAAAAGATTAACACCTCGAGCATAAGTAATTGGATTTAATGAGCTGTTTCGGGCCCCCTAAAAGTGCTTCTAGGCAGATTAATTTAATCAGTTCAAAAGTCTACGCCATAGGAATAAGCCATCATCCCCAGCGATTACCGTATATCAAACAGCAAAGACTGGGCTTATCAGTAGCAAAATTTTATGAGTAATTCAGTTGGTCAAGGTTCGCTTGGTTGATTGTCTGGGTTCCGCAAAGGTGCAACAGGTAATCTGTATTATTTATAAACAAAAAGCTTATCAACTTTCACTGCGACTCTCTGATTCCTTCTCTCTCTTCAGCCACCTTTATCTCTAGGGCTCCCATTAATAGATGATCCTGTGGCTGAGTGAGAATCGGTTAATCAACCCATGGATCGTTTATTTATATAGCCGGCCCCTTTTGAAGTTATTGATTTATGTGGCTTATCAGTGGGGCAGCGCGTGTCGCGGATCGATGATCATCGATCACTGCTGGGGATATGTCGAACACTTACATAGGAACGATAACAGCAATAGAGGCACCAGCATCAAAGCAATCACAAAGCAGAGCAGGGTCTTTAGTAACGATTTCAATTCCTGCCAGAAACTAAGAAACACAGAAGATTTAGAAACTCAGGTTTATTTAAAGTACTTAAGCAAATCTGCCAAAATCTACCTTGCCATATTTTCCGATTTCTAGAAAAGAATTCTAAGAAATTGACACTTTTAAGCTATATTTAGTATAGCTGCACTATATAGTATGTACACCTCCGATTCTTTACTCTGTCTTCGTATTTTTCCAGCAGCTCACACGTTCGCTTCTTCAAAAGTGTTCAACACAACTGATCATTATAGACGGAGCTTCGTGTGAGAATCACTTTATTGAGCGGCTTATCAGCTAATCGAAGCCGACTGCTCTTTCATTTGCACTGCAACAAAAAATTGATACGAAATAAATGCCGTTATCAGACTAAAGTGTTTGAATTAAGGTTTGGTCAATTTATAATTGTGCTAAGCAGTCTATTAAATAATGAGAAATTAAAGACGCATCTAAAATATTTTAAGATGTTAAGTGGTATTATTTCTAAAACGGGAGAAAGCTATAGTCAAGTACCTCGTTTTTTATAAATCCACTACTCAGATAAAGGAAGTGCGAGGGGGATGATGGTATCAGCGCCAAGCAACTGATTGCCATTCCATTATTCCATATCAAAATTTTATAATAAATCGTCCGGTTTAACAAGAATTTTACATGTAATTTTTTCAACATTTTTGGGACACAGGCCCCTTTTATACTACAAAACATGTAAATTCATAATTAAATTAATAAAACAAAATTTTTTAGTTCAACCTGGTGGTGGTTTTTTAAGTACCACTTACAGTCAAAAATGCAACTGCTTTAAAAATACAAAAATTTTAAATGGAAATGGCTAGAAAATAGTTAAATTTGGAATAGTTGTTGGCTATTTAAAAATCCCAAATTCCAAATCAGATTGAAAAAAGTTTAGAGGCTAAATAGTAATGTAGTTTTAAGTGGTGAACACGAAATTATTTTGTTTCGCTCTGCGAACCAACATTTTATGTTGTGCATAATTTTTATTTATAAGTAAAACTTATTCATATATCTTAATTGAAAACTTCAAGTTTTGCCTAATTTGTATGACTATTAATCACAAAATAACTGTTAAAAACTGCTATTGAATATGAAATATTTGGATTAGTGTATTTTTATGTTTGTTCGCCAAGACTTATTTCGTCCTTTTATTTTTTCGCTCTCTTGAGTTCGAAGTGCCCAGTGTTGTCGTCTTTGGGGTGCAATACAGGTTGTAATACAAGTTCGACGACTGGAAATGGAAGGAAAAGCTCTGCTCGTTTCGCAACACTGACTAGCAGTGAAACTCTGTCGTTTGCTGGCTTTTCACGCTGTCGGTCGTCGGTTTTTCCGGATTGTCCCTGCTCTTATTTCTGTGTTGGTGTCGCGTTGTTTCGACGTCCGTTCTGCTGCTTTGCATTCGAACGCCCCCCACCAGCCACGCCCCCCGAACAGCCCAACCGCCCCAATAATATCTGCGACGTGCGACTGTGTGAGTGTTTTAGCAAATGTTGAAAGGCAGTAGAAAAGGCAGTAAAGGCAGCATGGTCCAAATGGTGGGGCGAGGGGCGCGGTGGTTGGCAAATGAAAAGCCCGTGGAAAGCCGTGCATACTGAGTAATGATTTTCGTGCGAGTGTGTGAAAATGAAAATTGTTTTGCTGCGCGTCTTAAATGAAAGAGGGAGATATAAAATAAAGCCACAAAAAAAGAATGCGTGCAAAAAATAGTGCAAAATGTTTGAAGAAAACTAAAACGGAAAATCTAAAAGAAATAAAACCAGGAAATCACAGTTAAAATGCCAGCTTCCCGTTTTACACACACACATTCGAAAGGAAAACTGAAACCTGATTTTGGCCCATGAATGAACTAACATTAAGTTGTGCCGAAGAGGAAGAAACATCATCACCACCCCCGCCACCCACTCACACCAACACCATCAGTCACACACACACACATGTGCACAGGCAATTTTCAAAAGATTTTTGCTGGCCAAAAAATAAAGGAAATAGAAACGTGCCGCGCATTTGGAGGAGAAAAAATATATAAAAATACGTATAGCTGGAAAATAAAAAGGTGGGTCAAGTGTAAATTTATTTAACTAGTTGTATACACGAACACCCCACCCCCCGCAGCCAGCCCACCGAATTAACCACCCAACTCCCACACAAAAATCGTAGCATGCTTTCCAGCGTTTGCCCTTCGCTTGCCCAAAAAATATATCTCTGTTTGAGAGTGTGTGCGTGTGATATAGTTGCCTCCTTCCTGTTGTTGTCGTTGTTTTTGCCGCTGCCGTTTGTACATAAAAATAAATTATGGGCATGCCCCTAAAAATAGCAGCAGGAATTACAAGGAGCAAGGATCGCTCGGCTCCTGCAGCAGCATAAATCATTATGTAGCCAAATGTCAATATAACACTTTGGGCCTCACTCACACACTCCCCCATGGAGAAAGGATACTATGAGAGTAGAGTGTGCGTGTGTTCTAGTCTGTTTGTGTTGGTGCAAGGTTCACCATCTGAATTGGTTCAATTGAACCAAGTTCACTGATAAATAAAAAATAAATTATGCCTACATCATTTTCAAAAATTATATTGCAAATTTTCATAAAATTTGGTTTAACTAAAAGGCAAAATTGTGTTTAATTTGCTTAAATATTTTTTTTAACTGTAAGTATTACGCTCAAAAATATTTGTTTTGTAATTTATAAGTGGTATTAGTATTGCTTGGATATCATATTAATACCCTTATAATTAATACTTTATTACCCTAGCTAATTAACACTTATATTTATGAATACCTATTACCCTAACATTAATGATGCCCTTAGTCGGAAATACTTATAATTAACTTAATTAAGGTTGTTATTATTTGTTAGTTTTTGATTACTTCGAAGAACTAGTTAGTTTCTGTTTTTATATGATACTTTTTAGAACTTTTTTATAAATTATACCTTATTTAAGGAAAATGTACTGAATCGTATTTGATGATAATAAAAAAAATCAAAACTAAAAACTCAAAAAATCTTTTTTCAATAAAGATTGTTTTGAACCTCACACTCACACACACACAACGAAACACAGGAAGTGACAGCTAGGAAAAGCCAAGAAGAAGAAGAAGAGGAAGAGCAAGAGCACGGAGAAGAGGAAGCAGATAGGAAACTTTGTCTGTGAAAAATTCAGTCTGCAGCTATTTCACTTCCTTGAAATCCTTCGTCAGCCACAACAATAACTGTGGTGGCTCTCTCGCTTTTCCTCTCTCTCGTTCTGTCTGTTTTTCCATTTCGATTCTCTCCAAATTTTCCTCTTCACGCAGGCGCTTTTCAGCAGCCTCAACTCGTTCTTTCTATTTTTTCCCGTGTTTTTGGCTTGGCTCATTTGTTTATTTTTAGTTTGCTGTCATAGAACCTCATTTTATCCCACCCACACATGCGGAGTCTCTGTGTGCGTATGTAGCTGCAATTAAATGGCCCTTAGAAGCTCTGAGCCTTATTAATACGCCGAGATATTTGCCAAAGTTCTAAGTTGGCAAAGTCTTCTAATGCTCTTCCCTTTCTAGTTCGCCCCCTTGACTTTTCCCCTTTGCTGGAAATTTTTAAAAAATGAAACTGGTTCAAGGTCGACGAAACGAGGTTGTTGCACCGCCCGTTTACTACCAAATGGGAGAGGGCTTACGGATAATTAAATACAGTTGGGTTCGAACATGAATGTAATTGACCTAATAATATATGGAGCCTTTAAAATATCGATAATTTTTGGAAACTATTGTCGGAAATTACAATGCTTTAAAACAATATTCAACTATAATTAATTTGCCTTCGTAAATTTCAATAATATCTACAAACAATTTATTCGAATTCAGAACCTGATAAGCATAATGAAACTGTTTGACACATTTTGTATATATTCAATTTCGCGGATGGTGATAAACAACCCACTTGGGTGAGAAGTGAAAGGAAATGTGGTATTTAAAAATCAGTCAGTAAAAATGTTTTTTAAAAATTGTGAAATGTATATGTAATTTCTCCTAATATCAGGAGCAATTGGTATAAATGCGTCTTTTGAGGGTTTGATTTAAAGAGTGTAGACTGTAGGTGAAAGCTAGCTGCCGAGTCGGTCAGCATTTGGGGTCAGTTGGCATTTAATAGCTGTGTTTACGCAGCGGGGAAAAGCGAGCGAAGAAAATCCCAACAAAAGTGAAAATGCCGCGCTAAAGGGGCGGGGTAAAAACTAGGGGTAAGGGCTGAGTAGAAGGGGCTGGGGATAGAGGACCTTTCGCGTGCTGCAACGTCCATGAAATGACGAGGCCTTCTTGCCTTTTTTATGGAGCTCACGTGTCAGGGGACGCCCCGAAAAGCCCAGGTAAAAATGGTTTTAGTGACGAAGGGGGAGCAAAGGGGTGATTATTTCAGGAATCGCATAAACACATGATATGCTCAACAGACACACACACACAATATATATATAAACGCTCTGGGGCTCAGATGGCTAAGTATCCCTGTAGGAGCTTACGTAATCCCGAAACGTGAGCCTTAATCACTTTCTACTCAAAGTTTCGCAGGCGAGGGGTAAACGGGAGGAAGAACTGAAGTGGAGTTTATGCAAGAGTTCCCATAAGAGGATCATGAGTTGCCACTAAAAAGGGAATCCTTTTTCCAGGCACCGAGCACCTTTTAATTGAAATTTAAGCCGGGGGAGGACATGGCCTTGCATTAATTGATTTAAAAGTTTTCTTGATAGCATTAAGCGAATAGTTTACATAGATCACGCAAATAATAATATTAAATTAAATTATGCATTTAAAAGAACCCATTAAATTCATAGTCAGACACTTGTTAATATGTATAGATTTTACTATTACTTATTATGTACCTTGGATATTCATGGCATTCAACTAAATAAACTATACATTTACGGTTTTCCTATTTTTATCCTAATAGAATAGGGAAATTCAGCTGTAAAATCCGCTTCCTGTCCCTTACTTACATTTGGAATTCTGAGCACTGGCGTTCGGCAAACATTTCATTTCTCCTGTGATTTGGCGTGCCATTACCGTTAGTCACGTGCTCGCACCACTGAACCACCTCACCGCCCAATTCCGCCCACTACTCCCCGTTCCGTTCCCATTCCAACCTGGAATCCCTGGAGTCAGGTCCCGCATTCGGGACTCGTTGTCCTTTTTATGTGTGGCCTGGCAGCCTGGCGTTGCCTTAATTATCCTGGCATTGGTAA